CGAAGATAAAGAGTACAAGTTCTTGCTCCAGGATATCAGCCTCACGGTTTACAAGGCAAGCCTCCTGAACTGGCATACACACACACACACACACACACACACACAGACACACACACACACAGACACACACGTGCACACACACAAATACACACACCACCCCCCACCCCCCCCCCCCCACACACACACACACATGGGAGCACACAGATGCTTGCATATACATGTACTATACGCTGAATGTTTACCTTTGTGACAAACCCGGTGCCAACTACAATGCTAGCGAAGGGACTAACCTATTAATATACAGAAACAAACAAACGGTCGGACGGACGGACAGACGGACGGACAGACAAACAAAAAACCCACCCACATGGATTTTTTTACCCGGTCTATTGTTTCTTACACGGGTACTTTCTTCATGCAGGGAGAGTTGACGATGGCTGTCGGCTCAGTTGGTTCTGGAAAGGTGGGTAGCTACTCAGGCTCTATGTGCATATGTGTGCGTGTGTGTGTGTGTGTGTGTGTGTGTGTGTGTGTGTGTGTGTGTGTGCCTGTATGTGTGTGTGTGCCTGTCTTTTTGCTTGTGTAACTTTATACCTGGTATTTGTCGGCAATAAATAAGTAAAGAGTTGCAGCATGGTGTCCTAGGCTCCTAGCCATTGTTCCTGGGTGGAGGGTTGGCGGTGAGGTACATGTGTGTGTGTGGGAGGGGAGGGGGGGGGGGGAGTGCATGTGTTTGTGGAGAAGAGGCGGCGAGATGTGGTGTCGACTGACCTGGCGGACCTCGGCGTGACCACCTGGTTTGAGAGTTGCCAAGATCGTCCCGGCTGGAGATGAGCTGCAAGCAGCACCCCATCGCCACGGCCCACTCCTGATGCTCTTCTCTGTGTTTGTGGACGCGCGTTTCGTCGACCAGAAAACCTGAAACAACATGCCAAATTCTGCGCTCGTGTTCTCACTTGAACTTTGCGACATTCGCTATCATTGCGTACGCAATGGGCAAAATCAAGGTCAAGGTCAAGGTGCGTGTGTATGCGCGCGCGCGTGTGTGTGTGTGTGTGTGTGTGTGTGTGTGTGTGTGTGTGTGTGTGTGTGCGTGCGCGCTCGCGTGTGTGTATGCGTGTGTGTTTTTTCTTGCAGACATCCTTGTTGATGGCAGTACTGGGTGAGCTGAATATCACGGAGGGTTACTGTGCTGCTGATGAAGACATTGGATACGCTGCACAGGTATACTTCAGTAGTTCAGTAGTAGTCGTAGTACTGTGGCATCATGATATGAACCTTGTGCACATGCACTATGCAATCCTTCATGCACTTTTTAAGAGCAAGCACTTCAACTGTTCTTGGCAGTGCCGAACAGAGCAAGAAAATCTCATTGCGGCATTTACACGCCGTTGCTTGTATAGTTACTTGAAGTAGGTCTCTTCCATTTCTGCTAATGTATCCTGCGCTCACACACAGAATAATTGATCAGGTTGCAAGTAGAGCAGAAAGCATAATTATGGAAGTTTCCGGAGGAGGAAGGAGGAAACTGTAGTTATCACCAACCCTCACCGCGCCCAGCTCACGCCGCTACGGCGTGCGACCTGAGCTGGGCGCCCTGCCCAGTATGGAACTGTCCTCAAGCCAGTCACGTATTTGGCAGCCCAGTGAGCTGTCTACCGGATCGCAGCGTTTAGAAGCACCAAATGCGGCAGGGCCAGTCTCAGGCTGGTGGCGTAGGCGGCAGGCCGGCGGGCGACCGGCAAGGCTGCATTCGCATTTGAATCACCGAAGTTATACAGGTGCTTCGACGGCACTCCGTGGCGCATCAAGGAGGCATCTGGGGCCCAGGCAGCCCGCCCGTAAGCGCACCACCGTATCCGGTATGCGCAGGTGGAGCAGCAGAGCAAGATGTGTGCCGGACACTCACCATCATCCGGTCGACTGCATGGTTGTGCGACTTTACACAGCCGTCACTCATTACTTGCTATTGCTTGCAGAAGGCCAGAATTTTTTTTGCTCTCGTTTGCTCTAAAGCTACTTGGTTTACATGGTTTATACCCGTACCTGAGCATGGATCCTACTCAGCAGCGGATCGCTGGTATTCCTCGTTTGAGACCGCGGCGACGGCAGCGTCGGCCCTGACCAACACTTGAAGCCTCGGGCGATGAGCATGCCGGCCGAAAATGCAGGCATGGACACTGTCGTGCATGACCGGTTTAGTTGAGTTCCTTGGAGGCGCTATGATGCCGGCCGGCGCATGTGTTGGCGCACGGGAGACGATTAGGACAATACGGCGTGCGGAATACTTCGAGCTGGCCACAATGCTTCCTTCCTGTCCTGCCCACACGCAGCCAGCAGCCAAACGTGTTAGAATCGATCAATCCGATGGCAATCACTGAGTGGAATTGTCATTGGCGGCTCCTCTTCTGGCAAGAGAAAAACTGAATCTCTAATCTACTGGGTCGAGGCCTGGCAGACTTTCACAACCATCGCGCCTTGCAACACGAGCTTACGCCCTCTGGGGCCCTAAGTAGTCCGACAAGAAATTCATACTGCACGGCGACAAAAAGACAGTTGGAGCAGTCTGAAATCCGGGACTTGCCGAAATCCACCCGTGACGGAACTAGCCCACTTCAGCCCCCGCATGGTAGCAGAACACAAGGCTTTATCTTGCTGACTACCCATATTACGGCCACGGACAACTCCGCTGCGGACGCTCTTTCACGCGGACGATTAGTCCATTTCCTCTCATCGGCTCCCTAATCCAGCTGCTGGACTCGGCTTAGTCCCGAACTCATGCTATGCGGGAGCAACTAATCATGGCAGCAAACCGGCTGAACTTCTTCTCAACCAATGCGTGCCTCCTTTTTCATTCGCTGTGTAGTCTATCTCTCTCAGCACACGTGGGTAAGCACGCAAGCACACACACACCCACGCACACGCATACATACATACATACACACATACATACATACATACACACACACACATACTCTCTCTCTCTCTCTCTCTCTCTCTCTTTATCCTCCTCTCCTCCATCCCTCACCCTGCTTCGCCTCTAAGTGCTGTCGCTCCCCTCCCCTTCCTACTCGTACTAGGCGGCATTACACCAAGTCTCAGCATGTGGGGTCTACTTTGCTGTTTTGGGGCTTTGTTTGGACATTGTCGCGAACGCGATCGTAATTTCCATAATTATCACTTAGACATAAATTTGTAGTGCTAGAGCCTACTTTTTCTGACCTTGCCGCGATCCTTCCATATTCTGAATGGCTATAGGCATGCGCAGTATGGTACGCGCGCATATTAGGCATGCGCGATCTTGGCCCGTATAAATTAGGCATGCGCGTTCCTAATCAGTCTCTCCTTTTTATGATCACCAAGATTGACCTCGTGTTCTTATGGCTCTTGTGTGAATCCAAGTTTGCAGGCAGCTCGCCTTTTAGAGCAAGATGTCATGAGTGGATTGTTTGTGGTGCAACTGGCATGAGTATTGTTAGATCAGGGTAGTCGCACGGCGACAGACATGGCGAGCTGTTATCTTTTTCCTTGCGGCTGTCGTCGCTGTTGCCATTGTTGTTTAGATACCACAGCGAGCCGGCAGTAAGTGCCGGTGTTGGCGGGCTGGCGACCTTGTCTTACTTTCAGTAATTAACACTTTACCCGAGGTGCGACGGATTAATCCGTCACGACCGCGCAGGGCATGTTGCAGACACGCGTATGTGCGTTACACACACACACTCACACATTATGCGCACCCGGCGGGCAGGGCGATTGGCCCATGCTGCTTATTCAGTTGTACTAGCGGAGGCAGGGGCGATTCCCCTTCGTAATCGCCCGTGCGGCGGAATACCCGGCGGCCTGATACGGCGGCGGTGCGAGCAAATGCAGGGGTGGTTCCCTTTTGAGCTCTGTTGGCGGCAGAGGCAGGGGCAGCGCCCCTAGCCCATGCGGCGGTTGACCCGGCGGCCCGACATGGCAGTTGACCCAGCGGTCCGATATGGCAACTGACCCGGCGGTCTGATATGGCGGCTGACCCGGCGGTCTGATATGGCGGCGGCGGCTGACCCAGCGGTCTGATATGGCGGCTGACCCAGCGGTCTGATATGGCGGCTGACCCAGCGGTCTGATATGGCGGCTGACCCAGCGGTCTGATATGGCGGCTGACCCAGCGGTCTGATATGGCGGCTGACCCAGCGGTCTGATATGGCGGCTGACCCAGCGGTCTGATATGGCGGCTGACCCAGCGGTCTGATACAGCGGCTATGCAAGCAAATGCAGGGGCAACGCCCCTTTGCGCGTGTTGTTTGCAGCGGCATTGGTCAAGGCAGGGGCAGCGCGCCTCGCCTGGGTGGCGTTATGCCCGGCGCTGCGGCTATGTTTGCAAAACGCAGGGGCCGCTCCCCTTTGAGCTTTGTATGTTCACAGCTATGTTTGCAAGATTCAGGGGCAGCTCCCCTTGGGGCCTGGTACAGTTATGTTTGCAAAAAGCAGGGGCAACTCCCCTCCGAGCCTTGTATGTAATCGTTTACAGCGATGCTTGCAGAAAGCAGGGGCAGCTCCCCTTAGTGCGTGGTATGTTTACAGCTATGTTTGCGAAGAAGAAACAAAAAAAGGGCTTGGAGCTGGGTATGTTTATGGCCACGTTTGCAAAATGCAGGGGTAGCTCTCCTTGGAGCTTTCGCTAGTTGACAGCTACGCGACAAAATGCAGGGACAGCTCCCCTTGGAGCTTTGGATGTTTACAGCTATGTTTGCAAAATGCAGGGGCAGCTCCCCTTGGAGCTTTAACTAGTTTACAACTGTGCGGACAAAATGCAGGGGCAGCACTCCTTGAAACTTTGGATGTTTACCACTATGTTGGCTAAATGCAGGGGCAGTTCCCCTTGGGGCTTGGATGTTTACAGCCAGGTTTGCAAAATGCAGGGGTAGCTCCCCTCAGAGCGTTGTAGGTTTACAGCTAGGTTTGCCAAATGCAGGGGCAGCTCCCCTTGGAACTTTGGATGTTTACAGCTATATTTGCAAATACAGGGGCAGCTCCCCTTGGAGCCTTCTACGTTTACAACTATGTTGGCAAAATGCAGGGGAAGCTCCCTTTTGAGCTTCGTAGGTTTACTGCTAGGTTTGCAAAACGCAGGGGTAGCTCCCCTTTGGAGCTTTGGATGTTTACAGCTATGCTTGCAAACTGCAGGGGCAGCTCCCCTGGGAGCTTTTGAAGTTGGATGTTTACAGGTGTGGTCGCAAAATGCAGGGGCAGCTCCCCTGGGAGCTTTGGATGTTTACAGCTATGTTTGCAAATGCAGGGTCAGCCCCCCTTGGAGCCTTGGATGCTTACAACTATGTGTGCATAATGCAGGGACAGCTTCCCTTTGAGCTTTGTTGGTTTACAGCTAGGTTTGCAAAACGCAGGGGTAGCTCCCCTGAGCTTTGGATGTTTATAGCTATGCTTGCAAAATGCAGGGGCAGCTCCTTGGAAGTTTACAGCTATGTTTGCAAAATGCAGGGGCAGCTCCCCTGGGAGCATTGGATGTGTACAGCTATGTTTGCAAAATGCAGGGGCCTTTCCTCTTGGAGCTTTGTATATTTACAGCTAGGCTTGCAAAATGCAGGGGCAGCTCTCCCTCGGAGCGTGGTTTGTTTGCAGCTGTGATGGGGAGTGCAACCGAAGATCTCCTTTCGAGCTTGCTTGTTCGCATTTGCTTGTTAGCACCGTAGCTCGGGCACCCAGCAGGTCCTGACTGGCCTCTAGCGCATACTCCCGGCCACATTTATTGTCTGTTGCAGGATAGGGGCCTCACCCCATATATATATATATATTTTTTTTTTTTTGGACGATCGGCGGGCGGGAAGCCGTCATCGACCTAAGAGGCAAAATACAAGAATAACTGAGAAACTAATAATTGTATACAACGCGCCAACCCTTTGGCTCTGTTGTCGGCTCTGTGGGGGGCACCCGGGTATCTCCCTCGTGCGATTCGTGGCAATTCCCTTGGTAGACCCCCTCAAGCTGACACAGGATCTGGCCACCAGGAAGGGGCCTGGACGGCAGCTCCAGGTCACCGGAAGGTGGTCAGGGTTGACCCGCAAGAGATGCATGTGCGGTGGAGCCTGTGACTAAACGGCCACCCCTTGGGGCCAGAGAAAGCGGTCTTGAGGGGCAGGTGGTCCTTAGTTGGAGGCTTGCACCGCAAACTATGAATGTGAGACCGTCCGTGCCCGGCGAAGGTGTCCATAGTACCAGGCAGGTAGCTAGTCACACTTGTATCCAACACGACAGCCCTTCGGCTGTTGTCTGCCCGGCTTGGGGCGCCCAGGTATCCCACCGTGCGAACACTAAAGCTGACAAGTCGTCAGCGTATTCAGTAGTGCCCAGCACCAGCAGGAGCTACCAACCAGGGGAAAGCCTAGCAGTCCTTCATGGCAATGCCCTTGGTAGACGCCCTCAAGCTGACACAGGATCTGGCGGCCAGGAAGGTGCCCGGACGGCAGCTCCAGGCCGCCGGAAGGTGGTCAGGGTTGACCCGCAAGAGATACATGTGCGGTTGAGCCTGTGGCTAACGAGCACCCCTTGGGGCCAGAGAAAGCGGTCCTTAGTGGCAGGTGGTCCTTGGCTGCAGGCTTGCACTGCACAACCATTATGAATGTGAGACCGTCCGTGCCCGGCGAAGTGGTCGGTAGTACCAGACTGGTCGCTGGTCACGGTGGTCTTTAGCTACTGGTTTCACTGTATACCGAATCAGGCATGACATCACAGGTCTACAGCGAACAGCACAGAGATCGACGGGACCAAGAATAGGGGATAGCGTGCGGCGAGGCTACCCCCATTATTTTTGGGAGGCACGGCTTCATGTTAGAGCAGTAAATTGCAGTTAGGGACTCAGCTGAGTCAAGCTGGACTCAGCGTGTCAAGTTTGGCATAATACAATAAGCGCGCTATCCCCAAACAGTTGTGTGGTTATTGTGTGAGTGTATATGGAGGAGTCCGCGGTCACGTGAGGGGGGAGTGATAATTAATTTATTATGACGGTTACACACTCACTGTTGTCCTCTCCGTTGCAGCTTGCCTGGGTGTACGCCGGAACTATTCGGGAGAACATCGTGTTCGGCCGGAAGTTTGACGCTGAGCGCTACAACACTGTGCTGTCTGCATGCTGCCTTGACAAGGTGAACACGCTGTTGTGAATACTAGTACGTTAGAATATTGTGTTGATCGAATGTGGTTACATTTCTATTGCTTACCTGAGCAAGATTGCAAAAAATAGTTAGAATAATTTTCACTGGACCACACCCGGCGTCAGTCATGCTATTCATCGATGCAAGCTAGCTGTGATTGTTCCGTGCATGCTGAGAATAGGATGTGGTTCTGAGGTGTATCGTGCTGGCAGCCTAGCAAGCTAGTCCTCCGTTTTAGGCATTAACATTCGTCTTGTGAGGGTTGTTGACTTCCGACAGAAGCAGAATGCACTGTCTCTAGCCTGCCCGGGATGTCAGATTGATGTTCTGTTTGTACACAAAGTGCACGGTCTGAAATCCTTGTTGCAAATAGTGCTCAATACCCTAACGAGTTCAGAGAGTACTACACAAGGCAGAACAACAGAGACCAAGAGCTTTCTCGGGACTCCGAGTTTCGTGTTCAAAAAACACTCATCAGTTCTGTGTTTAGATGTTTGTGCACAGGATGTCAAATTGTATGTTCTGTTTGTAAATGTTTGTGTTCAGGATCTGGAGAACATGCCACACGGTGATCAAACACTGGTTGGTGAACATGGTGTCAAGATTAGCGGTGGACAGAAGGCTAGGCTTGGTCTAGCACGGTGAGTAACCGGCTTGATGGCTGCTAGATGTCGTTCAGGCAATACCACAAGGATATGTTAGGATGGTACGGACAGCCATCGGAAGTGCAGTATGCTCGTGGGGTTGGGGGTGACTCCGCTGTGTCCGAATCAGTGCTTTTATTAATTGACGGCGTACCTGGGACAACGTGTGGTGGGGTAAATACCGTAGTGACCATAGCGTGTCCAATGCCCCTGAACCCCATAGCAAGGTTCAAGCTCCGCTGACAATTGCCAAGCCGGTCGCCATTTTTTCATGTTACTTGGCATCAGTTCTGATCAACATGATTAGGTTGAACAGTTCAAGTTGCTGCATTAATGAGAGCACCAAGCTTGATCAAACTCATTACGCAGATGTTTTACTTTCACACATCCTATCCTATATAATTCTACAGAGCAGTGTATCAAGATGCTGCTATCTACTTGCTCGATGACCCGCTGAGCGCCGTCGATGCTGAGGTTGGACGGCACATCTTTGAACAGTAAGTGTGTGTGGGGTGGGGTGGGGAGGGGGGGGGGGGGCTGTTCCCGGGATTCTCACAGACTGCAATCTAGCTGCCCTGGTGTTGAGAGACTTCTTACCAATACGTAATTAATGGTAAGGGTGATCTTCGCTGCAGTACCTTCAACGGCAATATCAGTGCATGAATGGACAACAGTGAATGATCATGGTTTACATTTATGGTTGTCCTGGGGATCAAACTCACCATGGTTAATCAGGCTGAGACCTTCTATGACTGTACAGTGCCTGAGTGTACAATGTACTTTTGCTACTTTCAGACATTATGCAATTGTCTTTATCCGTGTTGATGAGGAGCTGTGCTACGGTGCCCTCGTGAACTCAGTAGAGCGGGAAAGGCTGCTAAAAGGAATTCTGACACTCCGGTCCCAGGCACGTTACGTTCAGTATGCCGCTGTGGGAGAGTGATTAGTGATGCCAAACAGGTGCATTGTTCCAAAGTATGCGTATTGCTTCTATTGTATAGCTATGCAAGGCAAATGGACTGTGAACATTGCTATGATAAACCCATGTCCCTACGATGTCTATTCGTGTACTCCAGTTAATTATGATTTTCTTCCTACGTTGTGTTTGTAATGCCGCTATGCTCTAGGTGTATATGTGGACTTCTCAAGGACAAAGCTGTTTTGCTGATCACACATCAGGAGCAGTTTCTCTCATCCGCTGATAAGATCATGGTCTTAGAACATGTAAGTAGTTATGCAGGGATTCCGGATACTGGCACCTTGATTAGTGTAGTCACAGAGGTGTCACGGGGCAGTGGAGAGTGGTCTGATGGGGTCTGGGGGTGTGCTTTGAGGGGAAAAATCAGATATTTCGGTCAATGGGGCACGTTTTAGCACTCTGGGGAGACCATCCTGGATGAAAAGTGGTACAACCATGGTCATACTGGTCATACCGTGTGTGAAGCTCCTGTGTCATGTCTTCTCTCAGCTCCTGTGTTTGTCTTCCTCCTTCTACATGTACTGCTGCTGATCATGAATCGACTACCGTATTTTCCGGAGTATAGTGCGCACTTTAGATGTGCTATTTTAGGCCCTATATCGCAGGTGCGCACTATGCTCCGAATATGAAATGCATGTACTTCAATGACGATTGAAGTGCGCACCCCCAATGAAGATTGGGGGTGCGCGTTATACAAAGGTGCGCACTAAACTCCGAAAAATACGGTAGTTATTCCAAGTACTAAATTTACATGTAACTCCACGAAAACAACATGTCCCTTTCTACCAGTACAGCTATAGATTAAGAAATGGGGTGTTGCATGGTGTAGTGACAGAAACCAGCCATGACCAATTTGGTGTGTGTGTTTGTGTATGTGTGTGTGTTGATGTGTTTGTGCGTGCATGCATGCATGTATGTATGTTTGTTTGGCAGGGCAAGTCACTCGGTATCTTTACTTACGAAGCACTACTGCAATCTGGTCTGGACCTCGGCAAGCGCTTGTCCAAAGTTGAAGATGATACAGATCCAGTGCGCCGCAGAGCTCACGTCAATGATGAATTGACCAGCGTAAGTAGAGGCATATGCAGTCTCTAACTTTGTTTTCTTCCAGCCTTCACGTCAAACTTAGACATACAACACACATGTATGCCAAGGGTAATGCATGCTGATTTGATGGTTGGCATTTGAACTTGACGTTGTTCGTCAATAGAGAACTATACTTTGTATTGTAGTCAAATCACTGTGGGATAACTATTTGTATGCTAGAGCTAAATCCTGCTCAATGCGTATACACTCGTATCTCGCTTATTCCGGTAGTCTGGGACCGGGCACTGGCCATAAGTTCGAGGTGTCCCTAACTTTGAATCACATACGTTTCAATGGGGGAAGGGGCCAGAGATCTGGCATAATTATGACATCGCATTTTCCACTAAAATTGGCGAACGAGTAGTAATACTTCCATACAATCCTCACCCACAGGGTGCTATGCAGACTCAGGTACCTGTAGCTTTGAGGTCTGAATAAGAGCTATATGAGTGTGTTGTTGATGAACCTGGATGGTAAAGCCAAGCAAATTGTGGCTGACTTTCGATTGCATCTGCTTTTGGCTTGCACAGTTACTTGGTGAGGCAGTCGATGAGCATGAAGTAGAGGAGGATCGCTCGATTGGCGCGGTGACATGGAGACACTATTGGAGATATCTACGTGCTGGCGCTAGCACATTGGTACTGATCGGTGCTGGTATTGTGTTCATTGCAACACCTGTGAGTAGTGACAATAATCTGCTATTGCTCAACCCTACAGCACATTCTCTGCTAAAGCTCCGGGTTATGCCATGTCAGGAATACAGCATCAGCATCTAGAATGGGGGACTTTTTCCGTGGCAAGAATTTGAGTGTTGCACCCTACAGCATCACTGAACACTGTTGAATGTGCTGCTTTGTTGCTGACACAGCGTCTTTGATGTGCAATATATGAGCGTGGTCTAATGGATGCTATGTATGGACAGAGGAATTCTTCTATGGCAGTCACGTACACTTAATTTTTTAAGTTCAAATTTGCTGTGTGGATGGCATGTTGGTGGAATAGCACTGCCACCCACGCTGGTGCAATGCTGTGGTTGCGAGCGAATTGAAGCATACACAGTCGTGCGGAAATCATTCATGAATCTAGAACACTCTTGGCTCAAGATAATTTGCTGCGGAGGACGAGGAGGAGAGGATTCAGTGCCGGATAGGAGAAAGACTGAACTGTTCTACTTCAGTCTTTTCGTATGATATAATGAGCTCGTGGGACTTGGGGCTAGAGAACACGGCTCTGCTTTGTCACAAGGCATATCCTTTGTTCGGTTCTGCGTTGCCCGTCTTGTTCTAAGAGCTCGTACATTGGTTCTTCCATGCTTTTTGCTCATATGCTAGGCATCCATTATCACTGCCGACTGGTGGCTGGCCTCATGGTATGTTGGGATTTTCCACATTGAAAGGGCGATAATATACACAGTGCTGTGCCATTCACGTCGAGCTAGCAACGTTTCGACAATTTAATTGTTATTTCCAGTGCTCCGTTCTTCTTGAGATCCGTTGAGTTTATTGCACTTGACTAATTGGGAATATACTCCACAGTTCTTCGTTTTCAACTCCTGTTCCTTTGTATGCATCTGTTTCTGTTTCCTTTGGCCTCTGGTTGGTGGATCTGATCTATCCTCCCCCACCGTTTAGGAGTCGCAGCTGACACCTGATTATGGGGTGGTGGCGTCCCACGGAAGCAGAGAGGTGGTTCTTGACCCGCCCTTTATGCGAATACGTGCAATTATTGGTTTCTATTTGTTTCTGTTTGTGACTGCAGGACGGCAGCAAACAGCAATGTAACCATGGAAACGGCGGGATGCACGGATCCCCTCAACTGTTCTGCAGCTAACAGCGGACAGAACCCACTCAGCAATGATGACTTTGTAGCGGTGTGGGGAGGTCTTCTCATCCTATCGACTCTGCTACTGCTGTTTCGCAGCATCATTCTGAGACAGATATTCGTAATGTCGTCCAAGAAGCTGCATGATCTGATGTTGGGAGCCATTTTGAAAGCGCCGATGCTGTTTTTTAACAGTAATCCCAGCGGTACGCGGTGCTATTACGTATCATTATGTAATCTTTGCTGTGTTGCCGCTGGTATGTATCCGATTGGGTTGTGGTGATGGGCAAGGGGGTGCACAGTTAAAAACGATCCAAACTGTTCTCAATGAGTATATTAGTATAATGACAAACCATGGTTTGTGTCCTTAGTTGTTCATAGGCAGATGGTGTCGTTACGCATTGGTCACTCAAAACACCGGCTATACGAGTACTGTGTGTGTTTTTTGCTCTTGAGATGTTGGTGTTGTATTGTGGAACCTCGGTCTATAGTCACCTTCCTTTGCAGGCCTCAGCAGAAATGCGACCACGGATGTTTCCCAGTGGCCCCACACATGGCCCATGGCATGCGTCGGTGCCAACACGATATACCTACGACACAAGCTCACGGCGTACCTATGCACGTCAGCCGGATCACCTAAAAAAACGTGACCTCTTGGCTGGGCCTAGAAGGCACTCGGATTTGGGCATAGGGAAGTTCCAATGCACATTGTTGATCACAGTTCTCGTTTCTTCAATCGGTTTCTGTACAGGGAGAATTCTCAACAGGTTTGCAAAAGATATCAACCTTCTTGACATCCTGCTTCCATTCGTCTTCTATGAGTTCATTGCGGTGAGTAGCCATTTTTGAATGTTTGCTTCAAGTAAAACTATATTCTATTAAGGGGGTAAGTAAACAATTCCCTGCGTTCAGGACATGCCACTGAGAAGGTTAACTAACTATTCCTCACCTCTTTGACGCCTTTATTCGCTGTGCTTGGAGGCATGCACCTTGCGGTTGGGTAGCTGTAGGAATGTTGTTGTGCATAGGTACTTGTATCCGTGAACTCTCACAAACAACTCTGAATACCACTGACCAAATGCCACGTCTACACTGTCACACATATGCACTGACTTCCACGCTAGCATCATATATCTAGGCCTGCTCGTAGAGGATTGGATAGTGAATGCTGCTGTCTGATGATTGCTGAAATGCATGAAACTTGAAGTTACAGCTCCACAGCCGTTCACCTCTGTTGTGTGTGTGTAGGAACTTGTTGTTAGTAAATGACTACTTTGAAGACTGCCTGGCTCTAGATGGCTCTTGAGTAGCTTGATCTGTGGGTGAGCATGATGATTCTTTCAGATCAATGAGGATCAGTGCCACCCACGCCGAAAGCATAGTCATAAAAGTACACCTTTGATCATTGATCAGGAGTTAGTAGAGAGGATAAATTCGATAATTCTGACTGTGATGGTTTGCAATACTGTGTGTGTTGTTTCTACTGTTCCTGGCATGCCACTCTACTCTAGTGGTTTCTGATGATGGTGGGCTTTGCTGCTTTCATCTCCTACACCAATCCATGGACGCTGCTGACAGTGCCACCGATGGCCATAGCGTTTATTGTTATCCGCCGCAAGTACACAAAGTCATCACGTGAGATGAAGCGCCTGGAAGCCATAGGTAGGACACGTTGCAAGTGGGCAGTGTATGTTTATGGGTGGCACCCTTGGGATAACAATACTGTTCAGTTGACGAAATAGATGACCATGGAATAGCATTGTGAGCGCCATTGTAATTAGTAATATATCATATGCACTTTCAAACAGCATGCGAAATGCACCATAGTGATATTATAAGCTTTAGTTTTGTTCAGTCTTCAGCTAGCACCAGCAGTTCAACCAACCAAAAGGTGTATGTCTTGCTGGTTTGTATAGTACCTTAAAGGGGAACTGTCACCAAAAAAATTCTTTCTTATCTTGTAGTTCTTTGGCTCCTGATCACGATGGTGTTATCCGTTTTTCTCTGCGATGGCTGGAAGTGGGTGAAAACTTGAAAAGAAGGTGCCCAAAATTGTCCCGAAGTACCGAGTGACGTCACGCCGGACTTGACCTCCACGCGTACATTCGTCGTCAAAAACGAAATCCAGCCAGTGTGCTCGTCGATCGAGCTAGCTGTTCCAATGTAGATCTACGGTGCACGTGTGCCTTTTGAACTGTAACACAGATGGGTACGTCGTACCGAAGGAGAATGCCAAAGAGGCAGAGACCCACGTGCAGCTACACAGCCAAATCAAAATAAAAAGCAGCTGAGCTTTCACCTTTTTGACTTCTTCCGCGAGGATCTAAGTTTTATTTTGTGAGCACGAAAGTACGTCGTTGTTTTGAACTTTTCGTGTGAGGAACAACACGATGATGAGTGCGTATGCAGAAAACAGTTCTCCTCCGGCCGGCGATAACACTACCAACCCGAGCCCCAAAGGAACGCAATGTAGTTACGTGAAGGCGATTCATCTGGCTCAAGATGCAGATGACGAACTCCGATGTCTTTCATTTCAGAGCCGGGTGGGCAACATCGCCACCTTCGATACAACGACATCATTTTCAAGTACGAGGTATGTGTGTCACACTAACAGCAAACAAACATCCTTCCACTCCTTCGTAATCACAAATAAAACAAAGAGCTGGAGCTTCGTGGAGGAAGTACCAGTGCGACAAACTGCAGTCGACTTTTGTTTATTTTGTCCCTTTTTGGCGTTCTCATTGTGTACAAAGTACACATCGAGTGTCCGAGTTCAGAAGGCAAGCGTGCACCGTACATCGAACAGTTGGCTCGATCGACGAGCACACGGGCTGGACTTCGTTTTTGACGATGAAAGTACGCGTGGAGGTCAAGTCCGGCGTGACGTCACTCGGTACTTCGGGACAATTTTGGACACCTTCTTTTCAAGTTTTCACCCACTTCTAGTCATCGCAGAGAAAAACGAATAACACCATCGTGATCAGGAGCCAAAGAGCTACAAGATAAGACAAAGAAAATTTTTGGTGACAGTTCCCCTTTAATCAGAAAGGTTAGCAATGCAGTTTCTGCTTGTGAGGTGCCTGAACTCCCGAGCATTCATCCATTTCTGGGATTTCTCTACTCCACCTTGGTGTGCCCAGCTCGCAGTCCAGTGTTCTCTCAATTCTCATCGTCACTGCAAGGTCTGACAACAATCAGAGCTGCCGGTGCACAGGACCAACTACAGACCAAGTTTAACAATCTACTCGATGCACACACGCGTGGATGGCTGTGCTACTTGGCCGCAATACGATGGCTAGCATCAAGGTTGGAACTGATGGGCGCCATCTATCTGACTGCCACGACGTTTGCTGCGCTTCTTGTCTTTGACTTTGGTGATGTTCTCAATCTGGATGCTGGTACGCTGGGACTGTCGATCACCTATCAGATCTCGTTGTATGGCTACATACAGTGGGTTGTCAGGATGTCAGCTGATGTGGAGGATTTGGTAAGGATTCACTTTTAGCAGACCTCTTCAGGGCCTGAACTGCATATGGCATAGATTACTGATCAGCCCTCTCTTCAAATCCACTGCATCTATACCCACAAATTATACCAACAAAACAAGTGGAGAGATTTCGTATTATATGTCTTGAACTGCCCAGCGTTTACATCTGTTAAACCAGTCCTGTAGAATGCACTCGTCACTAGTACTGACTCTGTTGGTGGTACACTAACCTGTTTGTTTCTGGTCCCGTGTAGATGACATCATCAGAGCGTGTCATTACCTACGGCAAGCTTGAGCCGGAGGTGCAGCCACCTCTGCCGGTACAGCCTCCGGACGACTGGCCTCAACGGGGACAAATCACCGGAGTGGATATGTCATTCACGTACTCACCTACCTTGCCAAATGCACTGAAGAATCTGAACTTTGTAATACAGCCTGGAGAAAAGGTGACAGTATTTTTGCACAGCACTCTACTCGATGTAGCAATGACAGAAGTCTTTAATTAATAGACCATCACCCCGCTTTAGCTGTTATTGCTGGCAGTGTGGATCCTGGACACTGGTTAATAGTCTGGGGAGGGGAGGGGAGGGGGGATGTGCAGACTCTTGGCATCCATACATGTGTAGGTCATACCTACCTGTGTGATAACTGCTCAGCCTGGCGGTGGTGGCTTGTATTGACCTACTTGATTACATCAGTTTTGTAATAGCACTGTTTGCACTGAAACTTCAGTATATCGTCCTCAGGACTGTCATAGTCTCATTACTTTTGGCCAAGTTACTGTGTATCCAAGGTTAAATGACTGCTTTTGTGATAATGCCGTCATACAAAGTACTGTATTTATTTATTTATCGTCTCCACTTCATGGCACGTAATAATACATAGCCAGTACAAGAAAGGGAGGGTGAATCCAACCACGGAAAATAGCATTATCAAAAGAAGAAAAGGAAGGGAGGTGTCACCATGTGTCAACAGCTATAGTCCTAAGTATCCAGGGTGCTCTGTATCACTGTACATCCTATGCATGTCCTTTCACAGGGTTCTACCCCTTCAGCTCATGTCACACGAATTAGTGTGGGCTTAGATAGAGTTGAGCCAATGCTGATCCTAACACGAGGAGGAGGCCTGTAAACAAGCCGTACTTTTGCTTTTTTGATCTTTTTACTTCCTACTTGGCGTGCTGATTACACTTGGTGGTTCTTACTTCTGCCATTGCTGTTCTGTAGATTGGCATAGTAGGTCGTACTGGTGCCGGCAAGTCATCGTTCATCAATGCGTTGTTTAGACTTGCTCCTACAAGCGGCAAAGTCATGATTGATGGCGTGGAGTTGGGCAACATGTTGCTGAGCACTATGAGACAGAAGCTGTCCATCATCCCACAGGTATGCTGGCAGCGGATGTATGCTGCAACTAACTGTGTCATGTTCACTTCCGGACTCCGATCACCATTTTGAACAATTCGTTTCTCCATTCACCTTCCTACCTCTGCCTGTGTGCACACAGCGCTTGATTGGTTTGGGTTATTTTGATCTTACAAAAGTACTTGCTCCTGTCCTTGTTTGCTGTGCTCCCTATTCAGAATCCAGTGTTGTACAGCGGTACGCTGAGGTATAACCTGGATCCGTTTAGCCGATATCCTAATGCCTATCTCTGGAACGCGTTGGAGATGGTAAGAGAATGCATGGATACGGCTCAGTAGAGATAGTAAGAGAATGCATGGGTACAGCTCAGTAGAGATAGTAAGAGAATGCATGGATACATCTCAGTAGAGATCATAGTCGTCAGGCGAAATAGCACGTCATAGTACATTTGAGATCAGCGGGAAGAAGATGACGACGTCCACTAATTTAGTATCTGTGCACACGAATCTGCTGTGTGTGTGTGACTCTGTGTGTCATCTTCTGTGGTTCCATGCCTAGCATGTACGTCTGAACCATCCTGCAAAGTTTGAATGACGTAGGTTGAGCGATCGCTCCGCGAAACATACTTTTTGAAATTCTCTCCATAGTATATCTTCCACCATTGAAATTTTGAATTTCTTCAAAAAAAGTGCTGAGATGGGTGGCTTGCAACCTCGATATGGCTTGTTCCAGGCATGCTTTGGAGCCATCTTCTGTTGAAGTAGTGGCGGGGATCTGCCCTGCAACTGCTACAACAAAAAATGATTCGATCTGAGAAAGGATGAGACCGCGAATCTCGGTTGAATATTGAGTATTTCAAGCCTTTTCACGACGAAGATGGAGTTCTTTTTGGAGATGGACGTCGCGGCAAGGGACATGGTGTCCGACTTCTGGCGTCTGGTGAAGCCAGGGATCATTTTTCCAGTCAGGTCGGCAGCCTAACCGTCGGTAAGCTTGTGTTTGGAATCCCGTTCTGCTCGATGTGGTAGATCACAAACAATTTGATATCGCACAAATTTATCTCAGCATCGTGCGTACGGTATTTTATATTCAGAAAATCCCAAAGTGTCTCTGTGTGGCCGTCCTATGCCACGAGAAACTCCAATCAGGCTCCTATGTCCTCTGCCTTCACGATTGAATGCCCACTTCGTTTGAACAACGAACACAACAATCGAGAACGGCTTTGCAATGAAAAATACAGCTATACAGGAGCTGAAAAACGGAGAAAAAACGTGCTCAGGATGAGACTCGAGTACACGCATACTTTCCCAGCAGGTGAAACGCAAATTTTTGTGAAAAATGCGTGTCGCCGACTGACCAGTAATTTCGCCTGACGAGTAAGAGACTGACTGTGTTGAGGTGCTGTTCAGTGCGGATGGACATGGACCAGGGTGCTGCTCACCAAACAAGTCACTGATGCACAGCAGTGTGGTGACAATTAATGCAGTGATTGATCAGCCAATACAAAAAAAGCAATAAGTTAAACGTTTAAAAAAGTGCTTTCTTGTTCACTAGGCTTCCTTACGATCGGTTCAGCCAATCACAGCCACTCTGCTGACCTACGCTGACGAGACAATCACAGCCACTCTGACCTACGCTGACGAGACAATCACAGCCACTCTGACCTACGCTGACGAGACAATCACAGCCACTCTGCTGACCTACGCTGACGAGACAATCACAGCCACTCTGCTGACCTACGCTGACGAGACAATCACAGCCACTCTGACCTACGCTGACGAGACAATCACAGCCACTCTGCTGACCTACGCTGACGAGACAATCACAGCCACTCTGACCTACGCTGACGAGACAATCACAGCCACTCTGACCTACGCTGACGAGACTAACAATAAGGTTGAAACAGCTAGCTGTCCGGATAATCAGTACATGTGTGCGTATGTAATGTGTGGCATGCAACAGGTGGAGCTGAAGCGATATGTTTCCCAATTGAACAAGGGCTTGGAAGCAGAAATCACGGAGCACGGATCAAACTTGAGTGTTGGACAGCGTCAGCTGATCTGCCTGGCCAGGGCGTTGCTGAACCGGAATAAGATATTGATGATCGACGAGGCGACAGCGAATGTTGATAGTCGGTAAGCAGCCTCGCTCATTAGATACTGAAGGCAGTGAGGGCCTCCCAGGTTATAAGTCTTTTGGAAAATGTTACTACACTACGAACAGCGCATATCCATTAGAGCAGGCCCAAATCCTACCAGAGCCAGATTACATGTGGTAAAACAGACCCTGCTTATCTGCAGACATTGTAATCATGCTATTGCTATGCTGTATTTACTGGTAAAGTATATATTGGTTATCCCAGGCTGTATGTACTAGTATACTGTAAAACCGGGAATTTTCGGTATTTCCCAAAATCAACGGTTCGGTGATGCGAAAATTTCGGTAAACCAGTTTTCCGCATCCAAAAATGCATTTTGCACACTGTGTGGCAGGGCAATGTTGAATTTTAGGTCACGTTTTATTTTAGGTAAAAATTACCTGTACGAAGTTACCGAAAATAAAACTCCACTGAAATTTCCGGTTTTACAGTATCTTGGTTTTCTGCAGTGCAGGTATGTATATCCATGCAGGGCCGCAGTGTATCTTGTCCAGCGATAGTGCACAGATTGTAAGTCCTATTGTCAACTTAGCAGGCTGATTGTCGGCTTCCGTGTGTGTGTGTGTGTGTGTGTGTGTGTGTGTGTGTGTGTGTGTGTGTGTGTGTGTGTGTGTGTGTGTGTGTGTGTGTGTGTGTGTGTGTGTGTGTGTGTGTGTGTGTGTGTGTGTGTGTGTGTGTGTGTGTGTGTGTGTGTGCAGAACTGACTCCATCATCCAGCAGACGTTACGTACGCATTTCAAAGACTGCACCGTCATCACCATAGCTCATCGACTCCACACTATCATCGACTCGGACAGGATCATGGTAAGTCAGTAGCAGCTGTCTAGCATTGCAGCTTTGAACTCTCTGTTCTAGTCAATGTATTGAGTTGGTAGGCACAGTGGGTTGGTCAAAGACCATGATTGAGATACGAGAGGTACCTGGTTCAAGTCCTGCCTGGGAGCGGTTTTTCCAGCCGTGCTGCTACCCACAGTCAACTGGGAACTTGTGGCCAGGCACAAGGGGTACATGGATGCAGCTAATGGGGTCGTTTCGGCACTTGTGCCAGTGGTTGTGAGACCTATCCACTCACCCCCACCGTTAGGCACTGCATCTGCCGCTAGGGTTTATCGGGTGTTAGCGGCCGTCGTGAGTTCCCTTCGGGAACGGACACGATAATTTACTTACTTTATTGAGTTGGTGTATATCATCGCTGGCTGTATCTTGTCCAGGGGAGAGAACTTCCGGGCAGGCAGAGCTCATACACATGCTTACCATATCCGAATGTTCCCTGGGCATGCTCATTCGGACGGAGTATGTAGTTCAAGATGTGTAGTGTTCTAGTGTTCTATATCCGCTCGATAAACAATTCAACATGGCTGAGGTGTGGCTGGGTGTCTTAGCCACAATTCAACATGGCTGAGGTGTGGCTGGGTGTCTTAGCCACAATTCAACATGGCTGAGGTGTGGCTGGGTGTCTTAGCCACAATTCAACATGGCTGAGGTGTGGCTGGGTGTCTTAGCCACAATTCAACATGGCTGAGGTGTGGCTGGGTGTCTTAGCCACAATTCAACATGGCTGAGGTGTGGCTGGGTGTCTTAGCCACAATTCAACATGGCTGAGGTGTGGCTGGATGTCTTAGCCACAATTCAACATGGCTGAGGTGTGGCTGGGTGTCTTAGCCACTCGTTCAAGTCGAAACTGCATGCATGTGCGCACGTAACTGTAACTGATGATGGCATTACATTGTGATCTACTATGAATTGCTTTTCTGTGATCGTGATCTGTTAGGTTATTGACAGCGGGCGTATCAAGGAGTTTGACGAGCCGTTTCTACTACTGCAGAACAGACGTGGCGCTCTGGCTGAAATGGTGCAGTCGCTAGGGGAGAAAGAAGGCGAGCAGCTACGACAGACTTGCCAGCATCTCTGGCCTGGCACTGCTGTATGATTGGGTCGATGCGGTGGCCTTAGCTGTGCCATGTCATTGCTGCTAGGCTTAGCTGTGCTATGCCATGCGGCTTGTACTGTAGCTGCTCCACGTACTGCAAATTTGTTTTAACTTCGGCTTGTCCGCAGTTTAGCTTTCTTAGGCACACCATTTCAGCGTTCTTTAATATTCTGCTCTATTATAAGAATTTCATTATTTGCAAGAGTCAGTCTTGCTGTCGGATTCCCGTTAGTTGTCCATGCTTAAATATAATAGTTATTTTGTTACAGTGTATTAATTTCACCCATATTTGCTGTATAAATTTGCAACTCATAAATCCTTCTTCAAAAGAAGTACTCTAATTTCAGAAATTTTAGGTGCTCCATATTTTCGGTATTAGGGCAAAAGGCCAGGTTAGGTGAACAGAAATTTTAGGTCCAGAGAAGCAGTTCCCTGTTGGATTATGTGTGTTAGTAGTTGTTCGGTGTAATGTTAGGTATGAAACAGGCGCACCGAAAGTACCGAAAATAAGAATACACCAAAAAGTTGTGAAATTACAGTATTCATTTTGTTGACTCCATATTCTTTATTAGCTTGTTAGGATTTAAAAAGTTTTCAATTTTTAAATACCGCTTCTTGTTCCTTTATTTATTGCTGTGTCAACCAGCGTCACGGTAATTTATCACATTTTTCCAATCCTACATTTGGATTTTCCAGGAACCCATTCTTCTTTTACTGAACAATCTGCTGCAAGACCGGGTACGAGTACGGTCACTGTACATGTATGATGTACAGAGCCATCATTGATATTGAATAGCCCGAATACCACAGTGTGGTTGTGCCTGAGTATTGTACACTCTTCTCAGTTTCGGCAATATCCACTCAAAGCAATACTCAGGTAATGGTAGTACATTACAATCATTGTGTACTTGCCTTAGTAATGTGTACTTTCCCCCGTTCATTTTATCCACTCAAAGCAGTGTTCAGACATCAGGTAACCATGGCTGCCCCAATGTTCATTGTCAGTGTCTGAGCCGGGATTGGTGGATAACCAGCATCAGTTGAAACCGTCCGAGCGACAACAAACTTCACAGTTGAAACCGCCTGAGCGACAGCCTGTCCCCGGGGAAAATTGCGGAAAAAAATCGCAAAAAACGCGGGGAAAAACGCGGCATAATATGGCATAATTTGCGGTGAATTTGCGGTAAATATGCGGTAAATATGCGGTGAATGCGGCAATTTTCAGTGAGTATGTAGTGAAATCAATCAGTTACAAGTCTCTGGTGTATAAAGCACCCATTATTTGAGTAAAAAGCCGCCACGATGAGACGTTGCTGACCGAAAAGTGCACTGTGTGTACGTGTAGTGCAACAAAAAGTTCAAAAAACGCGGGGAAAATCGCGGAAAACGCGGTCTTTTAAAAAATCGCAAAAAACGCGGGAAAAAACGCGGCCGCGGAATCGCAATTTTCCCCGGGGACAGGACAGCAAACTTCACTGCCTAGTTCCATTGCAAACCGTGTGATGAGTCTTGGCTCTGCCCTTGGGTTATTGAGCACGTTTTGCACTGGGACTTCTGAGTAACTTGGCCTACCGTAACTAACCCCTATGGTAACATGATAATCACGGCATGACCGGCAGCTTGTCCAAGGCAATAGTCCGGATCCACCGAGTACTTTCTATGCAAGACGGGAGTCCGGCAAGAGTAGACTCTACTCTCCCAGCTAGAAAACCAAGCTCATGTTAAAATGCATGGATCGTCTCTCCACAAAGAGATTGCATGATGCCTTGGCTCAGGGAGTCGTCAAAGAAAAAGTCGTTAACACGAGCTTCGCTTTCTAGCAGAGAGTAGAGTCTACTCTTGCTGGACTCCCGTCTTTCTACTAGTTTCTAGTATGACTGGGGTGGATCTACATGTGCATGTCATGGGGAATCTGGGAACCCGGAAGTTAGTCAGTGCTGAGCTACATTGTAAACTTTGTGACTGTAAATAAATTTCTAATACAATAATTATTATTGTATTAGAAATTTACGCCATGCCTGGTTGAGTGAGGATCTTTCGTTTGACTGAGCGAATCATGTCATTTTCAAGAGGCCACTTGATCTTTCCAATCAATTTAAAATGCAATTGTTTTTTTAGATGTTTTGGGGCAGTTGATGATGATCCTACTATTACTGTACTCCCTAGGCCTAAATCTACAGCTTTGACTGACAGTTTTTAGGTAGCGTGGCTGTGTGTAGATGTTTGTATAATAATATCAATGCCCTGAAGTCTGAAAATGTGGACAGTCCGGGGACGTTTCAACTTTCATACACGTGCATATAGACCATGACAGTAGTGACTAGTGCCAGTAGTGGATCTACTCACGTCACGATCACCTACTGTCGACATGTCGACGTGTCCTAGATCCTTACCTTGCTTGGCTTGGACTGGCTTTGTGGCTTGAACGATCCCATGGTCACACCTGTGCCTCACTCAACAAAAGTCTCAAGTGCCCAGCTCAAGCTCAAAGACAAACACAAAGTCAAACTCAAAGATCTAGATGCAGGCTCTACAGTCATGAAGATCATGTTGATCTTATGTCGATCGCACCCACCGGATCAGTGCCTGACAGTACCACAGCCACAGCGTTCGGCAATAACAAGGCTCCGGATTAGATGGCGAAAGGACCTCAGGCTCAGGCCGCGGTGGGCTGTCCGTTGACTCTGAGACCACCTTTTCACATCTGCATGCGAAGGAATGCATCAGCGAATGCCATCGAGCATGCCACACGGGATGGCGGATAGGAGGGACATTCGAAAAATCAGAATGGCACTGCACAGGCCCACGCACGGCTCGTACTAGCAGTATGTGTCACACTGCACACGCGAGAATGCGTTGAGTTTTAGGAAAGAATCGCTATGACTGAATTAATGCACGTGTTGCAACAGAGTTGGAAATCAACACAAACACAAAGCTCCGGATCCGGGATATTTGTGTCAAGTATTACTACTTGCCAGGAAATCACGAGTAAATAATTGAAAAGAACCCAAACTGAGGTCCTTGCCCAGTGTGCAGGACTCGTACGAGTCGTACCAGAGCCAGATCAGCTCCAGCTTCTACAGTATTTTCAGGTACGTAGTGCTCCTGGAAATTTTCTCCGACGCAGTGCAAGTTTGGCTAGTGAAGTTGCAGGTGAAAAGCTCAACCGTACGAACTTTTGGACCACGCTACGACGTTTTGGCGTACAGAGTTGTGGTGGTTTGGGTCAAGGTGAATTTAGGCCGTGCTGTGCTGACCTCCTCGTCTTGAAATGGTCAGTGTATGAGTCAGTGTGCAGATTGGCTTTGTGCCACTTCACCCCTGTAGGCTGTACATATTTCCAAATTCAATTGTGAATTGTAGTGTTTGGAACAGAACGCTTACCGGTACTAATCATTATCTGTTGTTGCATTCACCTTCAATCAACCCCCTATCACCAAGATAGCGTCTGATGATCTACTGAGAAGAGGTTGAAGTAAAGGTTAAAACAGTTTACCATTGTGGACGCCGGTAGATCTACCACAGCACAGGACTCTCTCAGTGCAGCTTGTGTTATTCATTCGCAGGCACAACGCTAGTGCGGATACTGCCCCTCGTGGACATGGCGTGTCCTGGATTAGATCAAGGGAAAATGGGTAGCTTGTATCGTCGATTTTCGTGACCGTTCATGATTGCATCATGAAATTTGTTGTCAGTTTCAGTTTCGGAAAGTTCGAAATTATGAAATTGTAGTACATTGTGTGTATCAATTTGGTGTGAAAATTTGGTTTGAAATGTATACGCACAGTTGGTTAGTGACAGGTGCTACTACTGTAAAAGCCATTAATTCTAATGAGCTGCAAATATAACAATTTCCTAGCATTGACGGGTTTACGTGTACCAAAGATAACGATTCTCGCTCATTCTCAACTCTCACTAGCAACAATATAAGTACCGATTTCTGTACAGCGTTTTCTATTTTAACGGCAGATTTCTCCTCCGGCTAACTCGTTAGATTTAGCACTTCGTTATATACCGGTGTAATGCTTTTACAGTGTACAAATACATAGATAAAATTGGTTTAGTTTTATGTCCGAAGTACAAGTGCATAGACTGAAGAGAAATTGTTGATACCAGTACACTGTACGTAGAACATTTTGAGAACATAGAATATTGAGTCATGTTGTGCTGGTCGCCTGGCAATGCCTGTGTGTGTGTGTGTGTGTGTGTGTGTGTGTGTGTGTGTGTGTGTGCGCGCGCGCGCGTGCGTCGCACGCGTGCGCGTGTGTGTATAAGATAGTATGCGGCGGCCATTAATTTCCGTTGTTTTCCGCCTGCATAATTCTACTGGTATTGCTTGTATGTGTTTGGCTGGTCGTATTGCAGACTATGCGGATGTCCAGCATTAGCACAGAGAGTGGCCACTGCCGTGCACAGTGAGAGGGCGAGAGCAGGACATCATGGCAGTATACAATGCCCCGACGTCAGGTCGGCAGAGTGTCAACAGCCAGTCACGGCTCTACTCACTGGACTCCGAACCTGCCACACCCATACCCACCGAGAAGCGGAAAATCAGGGGCTTGAGCAAAGGTGTGGACTCAAAGGATTTGTTCTGCGCTTCTGAGCTGTTGTTATGTTTGTGCTACTCTTCTCCATTCGGCACTTCTACCAACCCTGCTTTCAATATATCATGTCTTAACTGAGCTTCTTTCTTAGAATACCACAGCCATCCACGTACTGACATTGTGTGTGTGTGTGTGTGTGTGTGTGTGTGTGTGCTTGTGTGTGTGTGTGCTTGTGTGTGTGTGTGTGTGTGTGTGTGTGTGTGTGTGTGTGTGTGTGTGTGTGTGTGTGTGTGTGTGTGGTGTGTGTGTGTCACTCATTCACTCACTCACTCATTCTCTCTCTCTCTCTCTCTCTCTCTCTCTCTCTCTCTCTCTCTCTCTCTCTCTCTCTCTCTCTCTCTCTCTCTCTTTCTCTCTCTTTCAGTATCCCAGCCACAGACCAAATCAGCCATTGATGATGCGTCGATATTTTCCTTTTTCCTGATGAGGTATGCCAGAAAATGAATATATTGCTTCTAAAGTACATGTAATTACTTGAAGTATTACTGACTTCCTAACTGGGAACACGTTCGCTTTTGGGGCTTTTGGAGAAGGTGGATATGGTGATAAAGTTAATTGGCTGTGATGTCATGTTGAGCCATGTTGAATTGTTTGTGTGTGTGTGTGTGTGTGTGTGTGTGTGTATGTATGTGTGTGTGTGTGCTTGCTCTGCGTCGCTGACTGTTGCTCGTAGCTGGATGACGCCGCTGATCAAGTTAGGCAACGAGAGAACACTAGAGCAGAAGGACTTGCCCGACGTGGGCAGGAGAGATGAGTCGTCACGTCTTTGTCGTGAGCTGGATAGGTAGGTGGCTAGCGTAAGGTGGTCTGGTGCAGCGCAGGCTGCAGAGAACGGGCGTTTACAGTACTGGTCACATGCGCACTGCAGGATAGCACACACCACTGTGATTTGCCACTGTGATTTACAACCACCTGTCTTTAAAGACCACTGTGATTTGCAACCACCTGTCTTTAAAGACCACTGTGATTTGCAACCACCTGTCTTTAAAGACCACTGTGATTTGCAACCACCTGTCTTTAAAGACCACTGTGATTTGCAACCACCTGTCTTTAAAGACCACTGTGATTTGCAACCACCTGTCTTTAAAGACCACTGTGATTTGCAACCACCTGTCTTTAAAGACCACTGTGATTTGCAACCACCTGTCTTTAAAGACCACTGTGATTTGCAACCACCTGTCTTTAAAGACCACTGTGATTTGCAACCACCTGTCTTTAAAGACCACTGTGATTTGCAACCACCTGTCTTTATAGTTTCAATTGATAGGGGTGAGGCCTCATGAGCTTCAGAATACAAAACTGATACAGTGGACTGAGGGGCGATTTTGCTGTGCTCAAGGAAAAGCATGCATGCTCGAAGTACTGTCTCTACAGTTCGACGAGACAGTACAGTTCTTTTTGTAAAGGCCAATATAATGTATTATACAGACCTGCTGTTGTTAGAGACCAGTGTCATTCGACTACTGCTGTACTGGTACCTGCTTTTGCACACCGAATAGCCTAGCCACTAGACCACATTACAGCGCGATAGTGCATCTTGTATATGTACCTGAATAGATAGCCTGGCTGTGCGGTAGACACGTCCCCTGTGTGCATACGGATATAGGGTATAATCAGTTGTGAGTTGTGAGCGATTGACTACCTAGTCGGGCAGAGTGCTGACTGTGAGGGATGGACGATAGGATAGTATTTCCTTTCAGAAATGACCTTCGTTGTTATGGTCTCTTTGCCTTACCATTGTCTTTAGGAATTATCTTTGTTTTGGCTTGTTGTTTCGAATCTTTATTATCACGATGGCCTGTGGCCAATAAGAGATTGTTGTTGTCGTCGTCGTCATCGTCGTCGTTGTTGTTGCTACTGTTGTCGCTGTCACTGTTATAGAGAGTGGCAAAAAGAAGTTCAGAAGGACAAGCCAAGTTTGTTCCGTGCATATATCAGAGTTTGGGGAAAGACGTTTCTCCTTCAGAATTTCTTCTACTTCGGAATATATGTAAGGATAGAATGTATACATGTGTTGTGTGCGTTGGGAAATTAGAACGGGCATTTGGTATTGTATGCTTGGAATGTCTCCATTGCAATCACACACGTACACACACACATACACACCAGGGCCGGCGCCACTGGTACGGCCGGTACGGCCATGGCCGTACCAACTTCCCAAAAAGTCGGTCCACGTGGAACGTCCAAAACCGGGGAGAAAAAGTTTCGATGTATGATTTTGTACAGGGAGTCGCCCAGAGTGCAGGATTTGCCGTCTAAATTCCTAAAAAAATCTGGGGGACGACCCCCAGACCCCCAAAGATGGCCCTTCGCGGCTCCGCGGAAGCCGCCTCCGGCTCTGCACACACACACACACACACACACACACACACACACACACACACACACACACACACACACACACACACACACACACACACACACACACACACACACACACACACACACACACAGAAACGCACACAAGCGCACAAACTTACTCTCCTCTCTCTCTCTCTCTCTCTCTCTCTCTCTCTCTCTCTCTCTCTCTCTCTCTCTCTCTCTCTCTCTCTCTCTCTCTCTCTCTCTCTCTTTCTCTCTCCCTCTCTCCCTCTCCCTCTCTCCCTCTCCCTCTCTACGACCTTCACTTTGTAGCTGTTTGTTGGCATGGGCCATGTTCCATTTACTGTTTTCTATGATAGTGGTTTGTTGGTGTGACGTATACAGTGTATGTTAGGCCATGGTAAAAAATAAAGTTGATTCTCAGGTCATGAGCCTGTGAAAATCGGTGCGAGCGAGCGATTTTTCATTTTATTTCGCACATTTTTTTTATTTCCAAAGGTAGGGTCACACATAATGTTCATGGTCACATGTTCATATATTCAGGCCAGAGAGTAGAAAAATACCGGTATTTTACTACTCCCTGATTCATGCCTTTCGCATTGACCGTTTTCATGCGCGCATATGCATGCATAGAAATAAAAAAAATCGTCGGTGCGCCGCCAAAAATAGGTGCGCGCGTACTTGAGAATCAAAGATAATTTTTACCATGGCCTTTACATAGTCATATAGATTTTGTGAGATGGTTTACGGGCACACTACATCATGGTGGGAACCCACGACTCACGACGGCGACTAACACCCGGTAAACCCTAGCGCCCGGGTTTACCGGGTTTACCGGTTGTTAGTGGCCGCCGTGATTTCCTTCGAGAATAGACACGATAATTTACTTTGTTTACATCATGTACGTGTACCAGAGAGTACTTTGATGAATAACTGGCCGAATTCAAAAGCTCGTGCTACTTCTGTCCTTTCTCCTCTGTGTCTGCAGAATGGCATTTCGCTCCTCCAGCCCTACTTTCTCGGCAAGCTAATCGACCGGTTCACGTGTGAGATATCGCAGAAGGACGCATACCTGTACGCAGTGGGCTTCGTGCTAGTTGGCTTCATACGTGCGGTAGCGTATCACCCTGCGTACTTTGTTAGTCAACGGGAGATGGGAATGCAGGTTCGAACGGCCACAACGTCTCTTATTCACAAGAAGGTACTACGATCGGGTTATGATTTTCAAGCTTCTTTTCATCACAGTTTAGATCTAGTGAATATTGGCATATCTACTGTTGGACAACTTGCAGGCACTGCAATGCTGGTTATGAATACATACAGGTTGTTACCATTGGCTCTTGCTGTTTTTTCTCTCTCTGTCTCTCTCTCTCTCTCTCTCTCTCTCTCTCTCTCTCTCTCTCTCTCTCTCTCTCTCTCTCTCTCTCTCTCTCTCTCTCTCTCTCTCTCTCTCTCTCTCTCTCTCTCTCGCCCTCTCTCTCCCTCTCTCTCTCTCTCCCTCTCTCTCTCCCAGGTCTTACAGCTTAATCACTCTGCACTGTTGAAGGTATCCACCGGGCACGTTGTCAATCTAGTGTCCACCGATGTGCAGCGCTTTGACGAGGTAGGTTAGCCTGGTCCTGTCATGAACACGGTCATTACATCTCTTCAGACTTGCCTGTGACAACTGGTGTTTGTTGTTCACCTGAAGTGCTGGGTGTGTTTCAAAAACTGCTAGGTAACGCGTGGCATGTCTTAGCTGTGTGTTTGTACTAATTGCTTGCCTGCCCAAGTCCTCGCTAGGAAGTTATTGTCTAGATTCACCTCTCATCACTTTATGTGCTGGATTCGTAGCTTGATCCTTGATGGTGATGGTGATGGTGATGGTGTCTCTGTGGATAAGGATGCACTAGTTTGACTGACTGTGACACGAATGGTAACATTGTTTTACTGGCAGAGCGGAAGGACAAAAATGGTTAAAAATTAGTACTGCCTGGTTTTACGTGTGTGTGTGTGTGTGTGTGTGTGTGTGTGTGTGGCGTTCTGCGGGAGACGTTTCGAGGCGTTTGTCACTCGCCTCGCGTGCCTTTGGATCGCTTCAGGATGTGTTTGCTAATCGTGATCTTTCACTCCATGTGAAGCGCCGATTGTATAACGCCTGTGTGATGACAGTGCTACTGTATGCTTCGGAGTGCTGGTGCCCTTTGCAGGGTGACCTCCGGCGCCTCGATAGTTTCCACCACCAATGCATCCGTAGCATCTTGTGTGTTTCGCGAACACAACAGTGGGAGGAACGCATCACCAATGAGCAGCTCCGAGAGATGTGGGGTGATACATCGCTATTGTCCTCCCGGCTTCGGAAGCGGAGGCTTGAATGGCTTGGCCATGTGGCCCGCATGTCGGATGTTCGTGTGCCCAAGCAGCTGTTGTTTGGCTTCCTACCGTCGCCTCGGCCTGCGTGTGGTCCCCGTCGTCGCTGGAGGGATGTGATTTCGGCTGATCTTCGGCACATCGGCATTGAACATCTAGCTTGGTATGGGATTGCTCAGGATCGATCTGCCTGGCGGGTGTCTGCCGTTGGGCCGAGCCTCGGCGGTCCTTCCCATGATCAATTTCAACGGGTGGACTGTCTTATCTGCCACCGTTCGTTTCGTCGGCCAGGTGACAAAGCAAGACACAAGTGTAGCGCAGAACGAAGTCTCCCCATCCAGGGACAGCGTGGTGCTGTGCAGTGTGGTACATGCAGGAGGTGGTTTCACTCTCGTGGTGGCTTGCGTGTACATCATTGTTTGCCCCTGGAACCATCGGAAGCGTCCGCGCCGGCATCACCTATTCCGCTCAACGTCCCAGCTTCTCTCTTGTGTGTGACATGCAATCGGCAGTTCAAGTCAGTGCCTGGTTTCAGACGTCACAAGTGCGACCGTGGCCATCGAGCAACCAAGTCTGATAGAGCGTCGTATGGTGTTCGCTGTTCTCGCTGCAGCCGTCAGTTCCGTCGACAGAGTGACCTGAGTCGTCATCTCCGTTTCTGCTCCTGACAATGACTCTGGCTCCTTTCGGAGTGGTGTGGCCCTTGTGGCAACCAAGCTACAGTAGTAGTAGTAGTGTGTGTGTGTGTGTGTGTGTGTGTGTGTGTGTCCCATATGGTGCAGTGGTATGTGCAGCGATTTCCAATCGATAGGTTGCGGGTTCGATTCCCGACGATTATGGTCACACACGTCTTTCTTCTCTTTCTCAGACTCTTCCTGACTTTTCTTTCATTCTCCTGGGTGGTTACCAACAGCCAGTGTATGCCGGAGTATGTGGTGTGGTGTGTGTAGAAAAAGAAAAAAAAGAAAAAAAGAAAAAAATGGAAAAATGAAAAATAGGGATTCACTGGCCAAAAAAAGTCACTTCAAACAGCTGTGTGGTGGATACCAGGCTAAAAATAGTGGCGGTCAATTCATCAGCCTTGCAAGCTGTTGAATGGTGTAATCCCAGCACAAGTTGCTATGTCTAACATAGCTGTTCGCTATCATCGCTCCCGCGATGGGCATGTCTGAGGTCTGAGGTGTGTGTGTGTATGTGTGCGCGCGTGTGCGTGTGTGTGTGTATGTGTGCGCGCGTGTGCGTGTGCGTGTGTGTGTGTGTATGTGTGGTGCATGCGGCTGTGTTTATGCCTCTATCTTGTTACTGTAGCTATCCTCCATGTTTTCCAGTCTATGGTGGGGACCTCTGCTGACCATTGCTATCATGCTGCTGGTTTACCGGCAGATCGGAGTCAGCTGTTTTGCCGGATTTGCCATACTGCCCATTGTCTTCGTCTTCCAAATCGTCTCCTCAAAGATGATGGCTCGTTTTCGGTAAACCCTGTGCACATGTGATTGGTTGTGTGGTTTGTGTGATGCAGGGATGTTGGCCAACTGGGTAATGGCATCAGGCTGGGAATGTGCTATTGGCTCATACTGGTCACGTTGAGCGTACTGGTAGTTGGCCCGGAATCACTTCAAACGCACCCGATGCCATGCTTGTGTGGTGGCATTGGCGTGAAAGTGATTGCAGTTTGGTTCTAGTGTCGTGTGTGTGTGTGTGTGTGTTTGTGTGTGTGTGCGCGCGCGCGCATGCGTGCATGCATGCGTGCGTGCGTGCGTGTGTGTGTGTGTGTGTGTCTGTGTGTGTGTGTGTGTGTGTGTGTGTGTGTGTCTGTGTGTGTGTTTACATGTACTATAGATGTTTATTGCATATCTGTTCGCACGCTCGTCTAACCAGACATTCAGAAAAAAACACTGGAAGGTGATCAATCGCTCTCCTCACACCTTCCAGGTCATTGTTAGAAGATTGATTGCACTCTACATGTGACATCCCATTTGTGTGGGTATAATGCGGGTAGTCATCAATGTCCGCTGCTGCAAGATAATGAAGGCAAGACTTTCCTAGAAACAGAGCTGATTATGTTCATCTGTTTAACATTAAATTTTGTTTGTGGGGCATTGCTGTATGCTTAGGGATCGTGTGGCCAGGTTGACTGACAAGCGTATTCGAATCATGAACGAAATCATCACTGGCATGCAGTTGATCAAGATGTATGTGTGGGAGAAGCCGTTCCGCGCCTCCATTGAATCTATACGAAAGTAAGTTGTAGCTAGCACGCCATGGTGGAGGGTTCTTGGCATGCAGTATGAATCTAAGAAGTACACGCTGGTTGACACTGACAATGGCTTGAGAATTGTGTATTTGTGGGTGTGGCTGTGGCTGTGGGTGGGTGGGTGGGTGCATGCGTGTGTGCACGCACCCGCGTGTGTGCACGCACCCGCGTGTGTGCATGCACCCGCGTGTGTGCACGCACCCGCGTGTGTGCACGCACCCGCGTATATTTCATGCATGCGTGTTTTGTACTGAAGACATTTTAAAGTATGATGGTCGTTTTCTCTCACCTGTTCACATTATTTTGTGTGTGACATGTCTCACTGTTGATTGTCAATGTTAGGAAGGAAATCTCCACTGTTAAGAAACGTCATGTGCTGTTCGGCCTCAACGCAATCATCCATGAAATCGGCATCATTCTCATGGCCTTTCTGATGTTCACGACGTATGCCTATGTTGGTGACACACCTCTGACGGCAGGGCAGGCATTCCAAACACTCTCCTTCCTACAAATTATGCGTGTTCAAGTTCTCCTGCTCTTAGTCTTTGCTATCAATCTGACAGCCGAGAGCAGTGTCGCGATCAAGCGAGTTCAGGTACGTGCTGTTTGTGTGTGCGTGTGTGTGTGTGTGTGTGCGTGCATGCGTGTGTGCGCGTAACAGTGGGATGATCGGATCACAACGGCCACATTAGCGGCTTCATTCGGTGTTGACCCTAACATCACCAGCAGCATCCATCGCCACCGTCTTCGTTGGTTGGGTCATGTCGGCAGGATGGACGACTCCCGCGCACCGAAGCAATTGCTGTTCGGCGAGCTGCCTGCCCCCCCCCCCCCCGTCCTCGTCACGGCCCGAAGAAGATGTGGCGAGATGTGGTGTCGACTGACCTGGCGGACCTCGGCGTGACCACCTGGCTTGAGAGTTGCCAAGATCGTCCCGGCTGGAGACGAGTTGCGAGTAGCACTCCACCGCCACAGCCCGCTCCTGATCCTCTTCTCTGTGTCTGTGGACGCCCGTTTCGTCGACCAGGAGACCTGAAACGACATGCCAAGTTCTGCGCTCGTGTTCTCACTTGAACTTTCCGACATTCGCTATCATTGCATATGCAATGGGCAAGATCAAGGTCAAGGTGCGCGTGCGTGTACGTGTGTGTGCGTGTGTGTGTGTGTGTGTGTGTGTGTGTGTGTGTGTGTGTGCGTATGCATGGTTGTGTTTGTGTAGGTGTGTTTGTGTGTTTTGGAATGTTTTAAGCTGAGCTTCAACAGCCTACAACCCTCAGTCATCCTTTTCCCCAGTCTGTGTTTATTTATGTAAGAGTTTCTTAAACAGACTAAGTTACTGTTGTTGATTTGTTTGGGTTTGTTTTCTTCCCTTCCTAAGAATTTCCTTGTATTGTCGGAGACCAACACTGTCCACTCATCCTCCGCTAATGAGCGGCAACGAGAAGACAGCTCGGTCTTTCTTGCTGGTCCTGATCGGGAGCCGTCGTCAGAGCTTCACTTCGAGGACAATATCTCTCCGGCAGAACACGTGGTGTCCGTTCAGGACTTGCACGCCTCCTGGGGACAGGTATGTACTGTATGTGTGCACAGGGTCCACCTTCTAGTCTGTATTGCAGCTATTGCCGGCGAGGTCAGCAGCTTCCTACTTGGAAGCGTGTTTTTATTGACCGCATAAAATGAACATGCAAAGAAAGAAAAGCACTCAAGCATTGCACCCGGGAGGCAAAAATAAACTCAATCTCTAGCATAGGCTCAATGAGGTCGTGTATTTGTACAAATTTCAAAAGGATCCAAGTAAAACTCCAACAAACCTCCCACCACAGTGTAGTCAAGTACGGTCTTTTACTACTCCCTGGTCCATAGTAAAGGATTTCTGGTGGTTTGGAACCAAAGTGGATTGTGGGAATATTTTATTATGCCAAAATGGCGTTCAGGAAATGTCCTTTTACAGATCCTCAAAGCAATGAATGTTTAGGAAATTGGCTCACAATTGCTGGTCAAAGTAGCAACATGTGTTAACACATACCGGTGCATGTGCATGTGCATGAGCTTAGTGGAAGTCATAGGGCATGTGGTGAAGCGAGCAGCTATCAGTATTTGTGCACTGCTTGGTCTTTAGTGTACCAGCATATGCCAGGGTATCGTCACCATTGTCTGTACGTGCTGTGTGTTGTGTTATGCCTGTGTATTGTGTGTTGTGTTATGCCTGTGTTATGCCTGTGTCATGCCTGTGTTATGCCTGTGTCATGCCTGTGTTATGCATGTGTTATGCCTGTGTTATGCCTGTGTCATGCCTGTGTTATGCATGTGTTATGCATGTGTTATGCCTGTGCCGGCCTGCATACCTATTCTAGGTGGACGACAGTGATTCGAACAGTCCTTTTCAGCTGAGCAACATCAATCTGACAGTGGACAAAGTGAGTATTACACATTTTCTTGTTCTGCTTGGGAGGGGGAGTTGCCATAATTTTCTATTTGATTTGCACACAAAGAGATACACCGGGAATGTCGCCAATTGAAGAGGAGAACCGTACTCACGCGATTGTGGGGGGGGGGGGGGGGGGAGAAATCAACTCAGGTTGAAATTTTAATTCAGTTTAAGCGCACTGCATCATGTAAACGCTCCAGTCATTCTGTGTTCATGGCGGTTTGAAACTTGTCGCAGGTCGAACTCAACCCGGCTTGAAAACTCTCATGTAAACACAGCCTTTGTGACAGTTGTTGTTGTTGTTGTTGTTGTTGTTGTTGTTGTTGTTGTTGTTGTTGTTGTTGTTGTTGTTGTTGTTGTTGTTGTTGTTGTTGTTGTTGTTGTTGTTGTTGTTGTTGTTGTTGCTGCTGCTGCTGCTGTTGTTGTTGTTGTTGTTGTTGTTGTTGTTGTTTTTGTTCTTGTGTGTGCGTGCGTGCATGTGTGTGCTCATTGCAGGGAGAACTGGTGGCTGTTGTTGGCACTATTGGCGCTGGAAAGGTAGCAGACATTCCCCAATGCCGTGTCACAGGACTGTTGCATGTACAAGTACCTAGGTCTTGATCTATAAGAGGGTGATTAAATGTATTGAATGCCCAGTTTATACTAAGGAAATGTGTTACATTCGAAGAACGCTGTATACATAGTATTTGTTTGTTGCAGCCAGTTTTATGCCGTGCGAATGCGAACACTGGGATGGTGAACTGGTGCAGGACGCAAACTTAAATCATGCGATTATTTGATTGAGCAGCACTCTGCATGTACTGATTACTGTCTAATGCTGTGATGGGTGTTTTCACTGTTTCGGAACACGGAACCCATAGTTGTGGAAGAAAGTTTTTTGGCCTCTTTGGTTTGCCTTTGTGTGGTATACTCTGCCCTAGCTTGGGCATAGAGCACCATTTGCAGCTAGGACCCTGGACACTTTGTAGATACTCATGTGTGTATATTGTGTGTGCATGTGTGTGTGTATGTGTATGTGCGTGCATGCATGTGTGTATGTGTGCATGCGTGTGTGTGCACGTCCATGTGCATGTATGTGTGTGTGCATGTGTTCCGTTGTGTTTTCCCTTCTAGACGTCATTGCTGATGTCAGTCCTGGGTGAGCTGCACATCACATCAGGACATTGTACAGTGCACGGTGACATTGGATATGCCGCTCAAGTAAGCTGTCTGTTACTACATGATTGCTTGGGTGATGTTCAGTGGCTGTAGCATGCCTGTGTGTCGGTGTGCCTGTGTCCCAGCGGGTGTGTATGCCCGTGTGCGTGTTTGCGTGTGTGCCTGTGTTTGCGTGTGTGCCTGTGTGCGCGTGCTCGTGTGTGTGTGTTTTTGTATGTATTTGCCTGTGTGTCTGTTTGCCTGTTTGCTTGTGTGCCTGTGTCTGTACACTAGCAAGACCAGTCACTCTTGCGCTGCTCTTGTATTCTTCCCTCACAGATACCATGGGTGTTTTCCGGAACTATCCGGGAGAACATTCTCTTTGGAAGGGAACTAGAGGTGGACAGATACGAAGCAGTCCTGGAAAGCTGTGGTCTGGATGAGGTACAGAGACTGATGGATATTGATAGCATTGATAAGGTTGAGCGAGTTGATAGCTTTACTTGCATTACCACAGAGTACTGTTGTATTCTTAAGAACTTTGAAGCTCCATTGTAGCCTCGTCATGTTTAACTTCACCTCCGATCCGCAACACACGACCAGTCCTTGGCTACACCACGTAGAGCAATTGTTTGCACTGATGACGCCCTCCTGGGTGAAAATTCGGAAACAATTGCTCTACGTGGTGTAGTCAAGGACTGTTTGCGTGTTGCGGATTGGAGGTGAAGCACATGTAGTGAATGCTTCTGTACCCACCACCACACTCCATTATTCACCCCAGTGTCTGCAGATATGTGAATTTTGTAGAAAAAAAGAAGAAAAACCCTGCTTATTTCCTTGGTTGGCTTGGCGAACATGATGGGTGTGTATGGGGGGGGGGGGGGGGGAGAAGATGAGGATTGGCTGGTTAGATGTTGATGACACTGGCCGTCTCGATCATGCAGCCTAGCTTTTCACTGATCAAACTACGCTGGTGGTGGCCGCATGCATTTGTGTGTGTGTGTGTGTGTGTGTGTGTGTGTGTGTGTGTGTGTGTGTGTGTGTGTGTGTATATGTGTGGTGTGTGTGTGTGTGTGTGTGCGGTGTGTGTGGTGTGTGTGTGTGTGTGTTCACGGACATAACCTTTTCATGTCCGTTGCTTTGCACAGGACATGGGTGCAATGGACCATGGCGATCTAACACTAGTTGGTGAGAGAGGTGTCAAGCTCAGCGGTGGACAGAAGGCACGTATTGGTTTGGCAAGGTGAGCAGGCTTGACGTTGACTCAGTTTTCCACCAGCGCTCTTCTGCACCTCGATATTTTTAGATCCATTTTCAACAATGCCATGGATTTTGCGGTGGGGGGGGGGGGGGCTCCTGTACTACTACCAACTATGATGATGATTGAACAGAGAAGTGATAGAAAACTCCCAAGCTGGTGAAGAGGAGAAGCACTTATCTCGTCCATGGGCTAAGAGTCCGGAAAGATTAGTATTATTATTATATAGAGAATCACACAGGAAGAATTGCAACCCAGACTTCTTCGAGCATTGTTGCTTTAGGCTAGTGATTTAATTGTCCTTACCTAGGTGGAGGCCATGTGAAGAGCTGGCCTCACACGCCATATACTACCCTTGTTTTCATTCACTTGACAGGCACTGCATGTGTCACCGAAATACGACCGAGGTGTGTGCTTACCGCAAGTTGCTTGAACTAAGACTGGCCGCTCCACACTGCTTGGCCTTACAACAGCAGAATTGCAGTACCGGTAGTGACACTAGACAATACACACCCGCTGAGTTCAGGGAATGATTTAAGCATTTTCAACGGTGTCCTTACTACATGTGTTTGTGCATGGATATCGGCTAATATCGGCCATGCCATACTACCCAGGGTTGATATGTACCTCGGATACTGCACTTTCCTGTTCCTCATGGGGATGCGCCTTGTCAGAGTTTCACTGTAGTTCAACTCAATTATTTAGTTCTGTGTGTGTGTGTTGTGTGTGTGTGTGTGTGTGTGTGTGTGTGTGTGTGTGTGTGTGTGTTGTGATTGTGCTCACAGGGCGTTGTATCAAGATGCCTCTGCATATCTACTCGATGACCCGCTCAGCGCGGTTGATGTTGCAGTTGGTCAACTCATCTTTGAGAAGTAAGCCAATACAGTAGCATTGAGCAGCGAAGAATGCATATGTGTGTATGTGGTGGTGGGGGGTATCCACTTCAGGCTAGCGATATTTTCGAGATTCCAATGTTCTTGTTCTTATCCTGTCCTGCCCCCTGTACCCTGCGCCCCGCCCTATGCGCCCTGCCCTTGCCCCCCCCCCCCCCCCTTGGTTAGAACACTGGGTGTGCGCTACATGTCACGGACAGGTGCACTTTGAGAAACAGAAAATAGGTGTACTGGTACATTGCTAATGTAATCTCCACTGCGGTTAGAAGGTGGTGTAGAGCAAGCGTACTCTTGCCTGAACACTCGGAAATCACCGAACTCCTTCTCATTCTGCGGTCAATTGTTGCAAGGTTTCTGCAAAATGGCCCGCATCAGATTTGCAATGGTGTGCAAGCTGGCAATGGTGTGCAAGCTGGCAAAGGAGTAGTTGTATAGTAAAGTGCTATGTTCTACACTACTCTATATGTATGAACCTGCAGGAAGTCTCCCCACTCTTACTCCACTGAAGCTGATCCTGTATCTCCTCTTGCATGGTTTATGTGACTGCTGTTGACTTTCCTAGGTGTATTCGTGGACTACTGAAGGACAAGCCTGTGATCTTGGTAACACATCAGACCCAGTACTTACACGAAGCTACTCGTCTTCTTGTGCTGGATGAGGTACTTTACATGTATATGTTTGTGTGTGTCTTTTGAGTTGTTCTCCATCTTGTCGATAAATATTGTTAGACTGTTCATTGGTGGTGACAAAGTACACGAGTATGGCTTTGCCCTCCCTACAACGTGAGTGCAACCCAAGACTGCATGTTGAATTTGGTCAAGCATCGGAGAATATGTCATAGAATACCTAGTGTTGACTTGTGCATTGATCGGGTTCAACTATGGACAGCACTAGAATAGCAAGCCACTCGCATGTTTTACATTCATCCCTTTTCTTACTCTCTCTCTCTCTCACTCTCTCTTTCTCTCTGTCTCTCTCTTTCTTTCTCTCTCTTTCTCTCTCTCTCTCTCTCTCTCTCTCTCTCTCTCTCTCTCTCTCTCTCTCTCTCTCTCTCTCTCTCTCTCTCTCTCTCTCTCTCTCTCTTCTCTCTCTCTCTCTCTCTCTCTCTCTCTCTCTCTCTCTCTCTCTCTCTCTCTCTCTCTCTCTCTCTCTCTCTCTCTCTCTCTCTCTCTCTCTCTCTCTCTCTCTATCTCTCTCTCTCTCACTCTCTCTCTCTCTCTCTCTCTCTCTCTCTCTTTCTCTCTCTACTGCCGGCTGAACTACCTCACCTGATCGGTATATCCAGCTATTTTGTCAGCTCCTACCAATTTTCATTTCATCCTTGCCCGATCAATGTGTTCTCAAACCGGAAACAACGGTTTGTGCTGATACCCACCAAGTCTTATGCAGTGCCTCTTTCTCTTGTGTCTGCTGCTCTGCTTTCTCTCCTCTGTGTTTCCCGCCATGCAGGGGAAGTCCCTGGGTACATTTACCTACACTGAGTTACTGCGATCGGATTTAGAGATTTCCCGGACACTGGTGGAGAAAGACAATGAGGAGAAGAAAGAAGAGGAGACAGGGGACAAAACCAAGGCGAAGGACGTAAGCAATGAAAGAAGGGAATGAAAACGTTTGGTTCATTCAATCTTCGATTTGTTTTTCTAGACTGGTGTGGTGTACACGCATGACTAGTGTACTGCTTTAAAACAATAAATTCTCTCAATTATTTCCACTCTGGGCAGCTTTTTTATAGCTCAGATATCACCATAAGTACAGCTGCAGTGGTGCCTTCATTCTCAGATATTAGAACTAACATAGGCCTAATTGGAACCCCAAAATGTGTAGTTACCTGAAACTCCCAGTAACTCCCCTCGGTTGTCTCTTTTCTTATCCGGCGTACCTCTCTGTCTATTGTTATCAGGAACTTGCCAATGATGTTGAGAAAGAAGTGCAGGAGGATAAGGCTGCTGGGTCTGTGAAGTGGAACGACTACTGGCGATTTGTTCGTGCTGGTGGCAGTGTCGTTGTCATCGTGCTGCTCCTTCTTCTATGCCTAGTGGCTCAGGTATGGGAGTGACTGGCCTACAGGGCTTTTAGTAACTCTTTTTTAAATTTCTGTCCAATATCGACATATTTGTCTGTCTGGATACATTGTCAAGGAACAAAAGACATAAGCCCATGGATCCTTCCATGAGTGACGTGAGAACTGTAACTACCTATTATTATTATTATTGACATGTTTGCATGCTGCTCTGTGTTATAATAATATATATGGTGATAGTGTAGGATTCCCTTTCCTAAGACAAGATTCCCATTCTCAGGTTTCACCAGGCACTCAAATTGCTCATATCGATAGTAAAACTTGTCATAGAGGAGAAGAGAAAGAAAGGCAAGAAACACGTGAGCATGCGCGGCTTACAAGGCCAGCGATTCGTCACGTGGACAGGAGCAGGAAATACGAAATACAAATGTAAGAAATAACAATCGTCATGCAATGATTACAGTAATACTCAAGTAATCATTGCCCTATACTACACAATTCCCCTCCTCTCACCATTCTCGACCTCGTGAATAATAGGCAAGCAGGGCAAAAACAATTAAATTTATAATATACTCAATCTGCGGACAGCATGCTGTTTCGTTCTTTTTGAACTCATCAGCGCAGCACAGAGGAAATGAGGCCGAACCTGATAGCAATGGAAATAAAAATTTCCAATCAGGCCCGAACGTACCTTGCCAGAGTGCTCAAACTGACAAGTCAGTGAGCTCTGCATAACGCAAACAGCAAAGGCACTACCCCACGCAAGAGTGCTCAACTGCTACAAGAGCAGGAGCGAAATACTCAATCTGCGGACAGCATGCTGTTTCGTTCTTTTTGAACTCATCAGCGCAGCACAGAGGAAATGAGGCCGAACCTGATAGCAATGGAAATAAAAATTTCCAATCAGGCCCGAACGTACCTTGCCAGAGTGCTCAAAACTGACAAGTCAGTGAGCTCTGCATAACGCAAACAGCAATATAGAAAGAAAAAAATTACGGGTACAAAACATAGTCACCAAATCTCGCAGGAGCAGTGCGGATCCGGCCTGATCGACGCACTAATACTGGAGTAGCAACAGGAGGAGGTAGAGGTGATAGGGCAACAGGCGGCGACAACGGAGGCATACTCGGCACAGAGTCTTTGGCATCATGTGGGACAACAGGAACAAAGTCATTAGCTGACAAACTCACTGTGTCGGTGAGATCATTGACAGACGACGGTAAGGTAACTGGGCACGATGAAGTAACTGGCTTCAAGCGATTGAAGTGAACAGTACTGAAGTACGTTCAACTCCATTCAGCAATAACGTGTATGATGTCGGACCATGAACACGCACAGTAGTATGTGGACCAGACCAGAAACGATGAAATTTACGGTGCTCGCCAGCACGGACAACTGGATCATGAAGATATACTTGCTGACCGACAACATAAGGCTCACCATGAACGCGACGGTTATAGAACTGTTCTTGAGTCGGATGAGGAAGATCAGCATTATTACGGGCTTCAACGTGAATATTCCGCAGAGAAGTGTGGAGACTACGGACATAGGTATGCATATCAGTGGAAGGTGGCGAAGGTAAATTGAACACAATATCAGCTGGTAACCGGACATCCGCACCATACAGAAGGCGCGCTGGACTGAATCCAGTGGACTTGTGCACTGCAGCACGATGTGACAACAAGACGAGAGGGAACGTTGCATCCCACTCCGTACTGGTTGGAGTAATGTGGGCACGCAGCAGACCTAGAAGAGTGCGGTTGACGCGCTCCACCAGACCATCATCAGAAGGATGATACGGCGTGGTTCGCGTCTTCCGGATACCAAGGAGACGGCAGATATCCTCAAATAGCCGAGATTTGAATTGGGCCCCTTGGTCTGAATGAAGCTGGTTCAGGTGCACCAAACCGACTGATCCAGCCATTAACGACAGCTGCAGCGACCGAAGCAGCAGTGATATCGCGCAAAGGAAATGCCTCGACCCATCGCTTAAAGTAATCCATGACCAGGAGATACTTATGGCCCTGTGACGTTTCAGCCAGAGGACCGACAATGTCCAAGGCAGCAATTTCGAACGGATATCCGGCAATCATCGGCTGAAGTGGTGCACGGTTTGTTGGATTCTTCTCTCGAATCTGTGCACAGGTGTGACAGCATCTAACAAATTCGGTGATGTCAGAAGCCATTCCAACCCTGTAGAAACGCAGACGAGCTTGAGACAGGGTTTTTTTCCACACCAGGATGGTTAGCAGTAGGAAGAGAATGGACAGCGATCATGGCTTGCTCCTGAAGTGAGCATGGTACGACCAGACGGGGTGACTCACCAACGTGGTTCCAATCTCGCGCGCAGCGCTTCGACTGCCTCGCGATAGGTGATGTTGGGCGACTTGGTGACGATGTCCGTCAACATCGCGTGTGGTATGCCAACCAGATGCGCCGGCAACGGGCGCAAACATTGTTCATGGGTGTAGCCTGACAGGGCACATGCGTTATCAAAGTGGCTCATATAATTGGCCAAAATCTTGTCCAGGTTGACTGCCAAACGTGTCTGGGAGCAAAATCGGTTTGGGCAAGGATGTGGTGGCGGCTTGAGCATGTGAGGACTTACTTGAACTTGCTCGTCCTGCTGAGACTGGCGACTGTGGTGGTGAGGGTAGTCGTTCGTCGCGTGGTGTGCTGCTTGCTGCTGCATATCTGTTGATATGAAAACTCATCTCTGCTCTCTTTCGTGCCTTCTGAGCCTTTTTCATCGTTGAAAATTTTTCAAAATTTGAATCCACCAAAAAATTCCAAAGCACAAAAAAAATGTGGAGCTAGCTGAGCCGCGCGGCCGCACGGGTACGAAACCGAAGGCGGCAAAAACAAACAGTGCACGCTTTTCAACAGCAAAAATGAAACGCCGTGTACGCACGCGGTTCAAAAGTTCACGTGGCAGACTGTACAAGTACAACGTACTCTGACCGCCAAATATGCTGTTGGCGCCACTAGCGCTATTTTTCAAGTGCTATTTTTGTCAATGCTCTGCCCGCCAAAAGTGCCGGTTATAAGGACTTGCTTACTACTTTGTAAATCACCATTGTATTCGACCTGAAGAGTAATGGAATGAAAGGCCTAGTCGAAAAAATTATATGGCTTCTGCGCTTCGTGTGCTGATTTGCTTTCCTCCAACCAAAAATCTATACAACGTAGTTACGTACACGTATGTCAATGTAGCGCATGCACGCACAGAAAACAAACAAAATGTAGACAGGCAGGCGACGCGCGATGTTGCAAAGACCGGCAAACACTGAAGCAATCAACAAGCAGGCACTCAAATTATCATGCACATAAAAGAGCGAACAGCAAGAGAAGAGAGGAACATCATTGAAGTTAGTTTGATAAAGAAGACAGGCAAATCTACGACATCTCGGAAGTAGAATGGGTGGCTTGCGTGGTCCAGAGTGTCAAGGCTTCTTCGGAGACGATCCACAGCTCAGGAGACGAGATCGAGAGCGTTTACCGCTGCCACCAATGTAGGATTCCCTTTCCTAAGACAAGATTCCCATTCTCAGGTTTCACCAGGCACTCAAATTGCTTATATCGATAGTAAAACTTGTCATAGAGGAGAAGAGAAAGAAAGGCAAGAAACATGTGAGCATGCGCGGCTTACAAGGCCAGCGATTCGTCACGTGGACAGGAGCAGGAAATACGAAATACAAATGTAAGAAATAACAATCGTCATGCAATGATTACAGTAATACTCAAGTAATCATTGGCCTATACTACTACAATAGCTACCGGACCTAGACATCTGGTGGGCTTGTTCTACCACACACACGGTATCAGTGACTTGGGGATAATAGGCACAGTGAAGTTATCGACTGCCGGAAGCCTGAAGCTGCGTAACAACACTCCGTCGTCCTGTATAAAAAAAAACTGGTTCCGTATCTTGTTGAACGGCTTCACTTTAACTCGCTTGCCTCAGGAATGGGGTTGATCCACGCAGCAGCAGCTAGCAACAAGCAAAATTCAACTTCCTGTTGTGCAAAAAGTCCAATTGCCAGAAAGCTGTGCTCCTACACTTGCAGTGACCAGAGTTGTACGACACATGTACAAACTGTCCAAATACAGGGGATGGAAGCATTGAGCAGCTGATAAGTACATGGAGGCACAGGCAAACTAGATCAGACACAGTTATATCACACGGGATGATTCACGAACTTAGCTAGAATGCCATCTACACAACCCTATTGTGTAATGTATTACATGGGGAGAAATACATGTAATGCATGTATACAGTCATGCAGTAGAAAGTAAATGCATTTGCAAACATTTCCTTTAAATTATTTGTGTTTGTGTTTCTCGCTGGTTTCTCATTCAGGCAAGTTTGACGGTGAATGATTGGTGGATAGCATACTGGTAAGTTTATATACTTTGCTATTCTCCTGCAGCTGTTTTGGGTGAGTTTGCTATGCCAGACCAGTTTGCTATGCCAGACCAGTTTGCTATGCCAGACCAGTTTGCTATGCCAGACCAGTTTGCTATGCCAGACCAGTTTGCTATGCCAGACCAGTTTGCTATGCCAGACCAGTTTGCTATGCCAGACCAGTTTGCTATGCCAGACCAGTTTGCTATGCCAGACCAGTTTGCTATGCCAGACCAGTTTGCTATGCCAGACCAGTTTGCTATGCCAGACCAGTTTGCTATGCCAGACCAGTTTGCTATGCCAGACCAGTTTGCTATGCCAGACCAGTTTGCTATGCCAGACCAGTTTGCTATGCCAGACCAGTTTGCTATGCCAGACCAGTTTGCTATGCCAGACCAGTTTGCTATGCCAGACCAGTTTGCTATGCCAGACCAGTTTGCTATGCCAGACCAGTTTGCTATGCCAGACCAGTTTGCTATGCCAGACCAGTTTGCTATGCCAGACCAGTTTGCTATGCCAGACCAGTTTGCTATGCCAGACCAGTTTGCTATGCCACTATGCCAGACCAGTTTGCTATGCCAGACCAGTTTGCTATGCCAGACCAGTTTGCTATGCCAGACCAGTTTGCTATGCCAGACCAGTTTGCTATGCCAGACCAGTTTGCTATGCCAGACCAGTTTGCTATGCCAGACCAGTTTGCTATGCCAGACCAGTTTGCTATGCCAGACCAGTTTGCTATGCCAGACCAGTTTGCTATGCCAGACCAGTTTGCTATGCCAGACCAGTTTGCAGTTTCACGCACTGTTACTTGTATCCACAATGTCTGTTCAACTTGTGCCGTCTGAGGAGTGCTGAGAAAGGGCACAGTGGAGTATGTTAGCAAGAACACTGTGATACTAGCATTAGATACTGCGATGTTTACGGGGGTTTCCCTGCTGCTGCTGCTACTGCTGGTGGTGCTGCTGCTGGTGGCAGCAGTGGCGTTGACGACGACTGTGCTGCTGCTGCTGCATGTTTGCAGGGGTTCTGTAAGAATGAATTCCTATTTACATGAAGATGTATTTTGTTGGGCAGAAGTTGGATATCAATTGTTATCATTTCAGGCTCTCCACCATGGAGACAAGTATTACTTCGAAATAGAGGGTTTTGTGTATGCGATGTGAAGTTTTCTTAGATTCTTGTGATCTTGCCTCATTTTGTGCATTGTATATTCTATTTGCAGGACGAATAGCATACGTCGCAATAGCAACACTACGGGTGCTGATCTTGCCAGTGATTGTCCAAGACCGTCGTGAGTGAACAGTCCATCTGCTTGTACTGGACTGTGCCTATGTGTGTATCCTAGTCAGTCTACTACATATCCGTCTCCTGGTCTGTGTGTGTGTGTGTGTATGTGTGTGTGTGTGTGTGTGTGTGTGTGTGTGTGTGTGTGTGTGTGTGTGTGTGTGTGTGTGTGTGTGTGTGTGTGTGTGTGTGTGTGTGTGTGTGTGTGTGTGTGTGTGTGTGTGTGTGTGTGTGTGTGTGTGTGTGTGTGTGTGTGTGTGTGTGTGTGTGTGTGTGTGTGTGTGTGTGTGTGTGTGTGTGTGTGTGTGTGTGTGTGTGTGTGTGTGTGTGTGTGTGTGTGTGTGTGTGTGTGTGTGTGTGTGTGTGTGTGTGTGTGTGTGTGTGTGTGTGTGTGTGTGTGTGTGTGTGTGTGTGTGTGTGTGTGTGTGTGTGTGTGTGTGTGTGTGTGTGTGTGTGTGTGTGTGTGTGTGTGTGTGTGTGTGTGTGTGTGTGTGTGTGTGTGTGTGTGTGTGTGTGTGTGTGTGTGTGTGTGTGTGTGTGTGTGTGTGTGTGTGTGTGTGTGTGTGTGTGTGTGTGTGTGTGTGTGTGTGTGTGTGTGTGTGTGTGTGTGTGTGTGTGTGTGTGTGTGTGTGTGTGTGTGTGTGTGTGTGTGTGTGTGTGTGTGTGTGTGTGTGTGTGTGTGTGTGTGTGTGTGTGTGTGTGTGTGTGTGTGTTGGACTGTGTGCCTGTGTACTTTGTAATAGTAGTAGTAGTAGTAGTAGTTTTTTATTATTTTACTAGGGGAGTCCCAACAGGCTACTGCCTTTTTACTGTAACCACACCTACACTATATTGGCTTACTGTGATGTTGTCTTGTCAGTTTGACTCTCTTTTCTACTCCGGCACTGTCTGGCTAGGGACATTATGGCCATGGCACAATTTGTCAACGGTCACGATTTTCTGTAAATGACTCTCCATTACCAAGCACAGTTCACAATTTTTGCCCAACAATGATGCATCTCCACTGCTCTCAAGCATACTCTTCCTCCTCTGTGTTGCCACTGATCTCAAGTGTGCTGTTCCTTCTCTGTGTGTTGCTGTGCGCAGACCAATAGTGAACTCCACGCAATCAAACCTAACCTCTAATGATGGCACCGAGTACTCGACTGCTTTCTTTGTCTCGGTGTGGGGTGGTCTGATTGCCGTGTCGGTTGTCCTGAGTACCATGCGTACCATCCTGGTGCGCTTCATCTTCTTCTTTTCTTCAAACACACTTCACTCTCGCATGCTGTCTTCTGTACTGGCTGCTCCCATGCTTTTCTTCGATACAAACCCTAGCGGTAAGTAGCACCTGTTGGCCTACAACTCGGTAGCAGCAGCCCCGACTCAGGCTTCATTTTACCTGGTCGGTCAGCTAGAATGGGAAGTTCCCGGCCGGTAAATAGATGTGTCTTGTCTTGGAAGTCTTCAAATCACCACAACCACTGGTCTTATATCTGCCTGGGGGTATATTTATATCACGGGGTAAACTGATACCAGGGGTATACTCCCTGATGAAGACCCAATGCGAAAACGTGGACATACTAACTATCGAAATTGCAGTGTAAGAACGCCGTGGTGGTGGTGGTGGAACCTCTGAATACTTCTTCTACTGGAAATGCCTGTCCCAGATTTCCCGTATGGCTGCATCTTTCCCTCCCCAGTGCTAAACATTATGCTTGTACCTCCAGTACATGTACCGCAGATGACTGACTGACATTGCCTGTGCTATGCTGATAGGTTTGTGAAGGGAGATATCGCCGTAGTCGGTTAGCGGAAGTTTAGAGCACACCAGGAAGAGTTGTCTGTACTTGCTCCTTGTAGTTGATGAGATTGCTGTCTTGTGTACACGAGTCTGGTGGTTTTGTGCAATGTGTGGCCTTTGCAAGCACCATGAATCCTCCAGATAGCTAAGTTGTGTGTGCATGTGTTGTGCTTTGCAGGACGTGTACTGAATCGTTTCTCCAAGGACATTTCCCTGCTGGATATCCAGATGCCCTGGTTGTTTTACGATAGCATTCTGGTGAGTAACAAGTGTGCGCCTTTGGTCAGTCTCACTGCAAGTGACAGCACACTACTCCCCCCCCCCCCCCATACATACATACATACATACAAACATACACACACACACACACACACACACACACACACACACACACACACACACACTTACCCTTCCCCCCCCCCATACACATACACATGCATACACCAGGGAATATTCTGTCATTTAGTGCAGTCTGGATGGTCCAATAAACATCACCTTTTAGCCCCGGTGTGATCTTCAGAAGGCACACATGTACATGTAGATACTTCACTGAGTATGACAACATGTCTGTCACTACATACTTCTAGGAACCCAGTACATGTCTGGCCAGGCAAAGAGGTGCTAACTAGAACCCAGTACAAATGGTAGAGATCATGACTGTCACTGTGTACTTCTAGCAATGGTGGAGATAATTCTTCTTTCAGATATCAAACTGGGTGTTTCATGCACACTCTGTACAGTGCAGAGCATGTGTTTGGAAGCCGGCAATCATATGAAAAGTGCAAAATCTTTTGGTTCACACCTGGCGCGAGATCAAGTTGAGATCGCGGCTCTTTCTTCTTGTGTGTTTCCAACACCTGAACGTGTTGCACATAGTCCTCTGTAGTGACTAAAGTTTGACTCAGGACTAGCATAGGGCCATTACACTACTCCCTGGTGTGAGGTTTTTCTTGCAGGTTTGACAAATCTCACAGCCACTGGTGTTGTTATCACACCATGTTAGTCACAGCTAGCAAGCCTAGCCACTGTGGCACACAGTAACTCTGGATACGGTTGAGGACTAAGCTCATTTTCTAGTTGGTTTGTTCAGGGCTACTGAGCTCTTTGTTTTCTTTCTTGAGAATTTTCAAGTTCCTTTGGCATTCCTTCCAGCGTTGGAACCAGTCTATCTTTCAGTGAAACCTGGTCCAGAGACCACCTTGTTCCAGCAAGAACAAAGACCACTACTATTTGGGACCAAGTATTTGGAATGTGTGTTTGGAATGTGTGTTGGCCACACTGGTTTCATTTACTTCGAAGGACCACCTGCATTCAAATACTGTGATAGGTCATCCCGGAAATAAGATTTCACTGGTGTGTGCTCTCTCTCTCTCTCTCTCTCTCTCTCTCTCTCTCTCTCTCTCTCTCTCTCTCTCTCTCTCTCTCTCTCTCTCTCTCTCTCTCTCTCTCTCTCTCTCTCTCTCTCTCTCTCTCTCTCTCTCTCTCTCTCTCTCTCTCTCTCTCTCTCTCTCTCTGTCTCTCTCTCTCTCTCTCTCTCTCTCTCTATCGATCTATCTCTCTCTCTCTCCCTCCCTCTCTCTCTCTCCCTCTCTCTCTCCCTCTCTCTCTCTCTCTCTCTCTCTCTCTCTCTCTCTCTCTCTCTCTCTCTCTCTCTCTCTCTCTCTCTCTCTCTCTCTCTCTCTCTCTCTCTCTCTCTCTCTCTCCACCCTCCACCCTCTGTTCAGTTCTCTGCTTAGTACCTCATTTCCTATCATTGTTGTGTTTCACTGTTTCCCCTCCTCACCTTGCTGTAGTGGATAATAGCAGTAAGTACAGTGGTGATCTTTGTCAGTATTGTCAATCCCTGGACTCTCATAACTCTGCCTCCGCTCACACTGCTCTACCTATGGCTGCAAAGGAAATATGTCAAGGTGTCGCGTGAGATCAAGAGACTGGAAGCTATTGGTAAGTGTGAAGAGTTACATCTGACAACTTTGACCCTGCTGCTGTATTGCCGGGCGCCGAAGAACGATATGCCAAAGAGCGAATAGGCTAGAATTTTACTATGTCCACGATGCACGTATGTATATGGTAGTTGAGCTATAGACCGTTCTACATGAAAAGAGAACGGCCTAGGCTACGACTCTGATCCCCTCGGTCCTTGGGTTCTAGGGCACCTGACAGCACTGTAGGTGAATGAGCAGCATTCCTTCAAGTATCTTAAAAAATATATAATTTATTCCTGCTGTGACTCCGGCACGTTGATGAGGCCAGGAGCTGAAATAGGTTTAAAGTAAAGTGCAATAGTACTATGTATGGTGTCTGTGTATTCATTGTATACTCATCATATCTGTGTGTATTTGTGTATGTGTGCAGCCCGCAGTCCTGTCTATTCGCATTTCTCCGCCACGCTGCAAGGCCTCACAACCATTCGAGCGCTGCACGCCGAGTATCGTCTACAAGAGACGTTCAACGGATTGCTGGACGCGCACTCTCGCGCCTGGCTATCGTACCTAGGAGCAACGCGATGGCTGTCAGTTCGTATTGAGCTCCTGTCAACGGGCTACTTGGCACTTGTGACGTTTTCTTCATTACTAGTGTTCGACTACACCAGCTCAACAAACCTTGATGCTGGCACATTTGGTCTATCGTTGTCCTATCAACTAGCTCTGTACGGCTTTCTGCAGTGGGTGATCAGAGCGTGTGCTGAAGTGGAGAACATGGTGAGTTACATGTACATCCATTGCCAGCAGGAGTATTTCTAACATGTACGGTGTTCTTTTCTGAGGCGTGTGTGCTTGTTATAGTCTGCTACGGGATTGTCTCTATTGCCGGACTGTTCCTCCAAAACTAGCTGTGTCCACAACCAGGGCCAGTAAAGTAAAGGAAATTCGAATTGAGAGGGCTAGAAACACAAGAGTGCAGAGCCATGTACACACACACACACACACACACACACACACACACACACACACACACACACACACACACACACACACACACAAGAGATAGGCTGTGACTTCAAGCTTCGCTCATTAATAAAGAATGTGATTGCCTGGCACCATCGGCTGTGTGCTGCTCTCTAAGGATCCCTTAGTGCATAAACCTCAAGCCACGGCCAAGCAGCCTCTCATTTGTTGTGTGCGGACCATGTTTATACTGGATTTACCACCTCTTGTCACCCCCCCCCCCCCCACCCCTGCCCCACTTGACCAGCTCTTCTCACCCACCCCCCCTGCCCCACTTCCCACTTGACCAGCTCTTCTCTCCCCCCCCCCCCCCTGCCCCATTTGACCAGCTCTTGAACAGCAATCCCGCTGTAATGCGAAATTGGAACTTTGGGATTGGTATTCCGAATAAACAGGCTTCATCCTGCCCATGATTGTTTGTGGGGAAATTACGGGAGTTTGAGATGACCACTAATGTAGCACTTTTCTGATCTTGGGTTGACTTTGACTGAATTGATCCTGTTATCCTGTTATCCTGTTATCCTGTTATCCTGGTGGTGGTGATGTGCAGATGACTTCAGCTGAGCGTGTCTTCAGCTACTGTGAGTTGGAGAGTGAGAAGCAGCCCGACCTGCCCATTCAACCAGCAGCAGACTGGCCGCAGTATGGGATTATCACCGGAGAACGCATGACGTATCGCTACTCGCCCGAGGGTCCACCCGTCCTTCGCGCTATCAATTTCTGTATCCGTCACCAGGAGAAGGTAAGCTGCCGTTCTCTGGCTTCTGAGGTGTTTCATGTACCTGGGCACTGCTTTGTGTTTTCTTTTGAACCGGAAGAATGTATTTGTGCGTGTGAGGCACAGTCCATTTCTATGCTGTGGCTAGTGGACTCACTGCTACGCCGTCTTGTACATTGTGAGCAACAGGCAACTGTCTTGCACACTGTGACCAACAGACAACTGTCTTGCACACTGTGACCAACAGACAACTGTCTTGCACACTGTGAGCAACAGACAACTGTCTTTCAGGCTGTGATCAATAGGCAACTGTCTTGCATGTCCTGAGCAGCAAGGGTTTTCCTCTTTGTGTAATAGTTAGCTTATTGAGTGCCTGAGGTTCGGCATGACTTCCACGTCTGTTGTGAAGATGCTTCGAAGGAGAACATGTCGTGAGTAATTTTTTCAAAGTGGTAGGTTGCTATGCGCGACAAGCCCAATAAGATTCATATTTCATCGATATTGAGTGTGAATCTGTGTGTGTGTACCATACTCGTGCGATTAGAGCGCTCTCTTGAATAGTGCCCCAGTCTCTAAGAGCCGGTGAAAAAATAAAGCCTCTCTTGAATAGTGCCCCCCCCCCCCCAAGCTGGTAACCAAGCGCATGTGCAAGTAATAGTTAGTTGTTATTTTGCTTATGTTCTTGTACATATCACTGCACTGGTGGTTTTAGGATGCAAATCGCAGTTCTTTTTTTTTTTTTTTTTTTTTTTTAAAGAGTTGGCACCTATGAATTCAGGGGATGGCCCGCGCCTGGTAAAAAGAAAAAGAAAGAAAAAAGAATGTCTGGCACCTATGAATTCAGGGGATGGCCCACGCCTGGTAAAAAGAAAAAGAAAAAAAGAAATCATAACAAAGAAAACTAAAGAAAAAAGAATGTTTGGCACCTATGAATTCAGGGGATGGCCCACGCCTGGTAAAAAGAAAAAGAAAAAAAGAAGTCTCTTTCCCTCAAACCAGTTACTAAAAAAAGAAATCATAACAAATAAAACTAACTAATAGCGAAAACAATACAGCCATATAACAAGAGGTGAGGGTTAACCCAGACGACACTCAGCATTCACTAGAGCTGAGGGGCACTCCAGCTGCTGATCCAAAGATGCTCGCCTGGATCGATGACCTCTTAAGCTTGCAATCGCCGATCTGATGAGGGCAAACCCTAGGCGGCAACGGAGGTGAGCCATCACCATGGAGAACGGTTCCTTCCGCTTCTCGGCCAGCATTGATGCAATGCGCTTGAGGAAAGCAGAGGCAGCCTTGCCTTGACCACCGGAGGCACAAAACACCAAGGGGACGAACGATGCCTTCTCTACTTCCCTAACACGCTCTTCATAGTGTCGCCGTTTCTCCTTCTCGTGCTTAGTGAAAAATCGCAGTTCTTTTTGCCGTTTCTTTTGAGTCGTGATAGTTTACAGTAAACGTTAGGCTCTGTTTTGCTTTGTTTTCATGCTGAATGACGCAAATGTACCAGCATTGAAAAAAATAGCGCCCTATCTTGAATAGTGCCCCATCTGCGATGGACATTGAAAAAATAGGGCACTAATCGCGCGAGTACGGTATGTGTGTGTGTGTGTCCGTGTGCAGGTCGGCATAGTAGGTCGTACAGGTGCCGGCAAGTCATCGTTCATCAATGCATTGTTTAGACTTGCTCCGACAAGCGGTAAAGTCATGATTGATGGCATGGAGTTGGACAAAGTGTTGCTGAGCACCATGAGACAGAAACTGTCCATCATCCCACAGGTGAGTCATGCCCCCCCCCCCCCCCGTCTATGCTTTCACGTACTCAGCGTTGAGCACACGACTCTGAAGAAGAAGAGGTGGGGTGGGGGTCATGTTAGCCCTGGGGGTATGCCCGAAAAACTGTGATGAGAATAGAAAGACGAGCGAGTACAGAGACTATGTGGTAATGTGTGTTGAGAGTGAATAATGTGTAAATGCATTGGAGTTCACGAATTCTTAGATCAGTTATTGTGGCTGAATTTACTTACTACCCCAATTTGTTCAAAATCCAGTTAGCCAGTAACACATGCTACACGCTGCACTCACTCATGTGTTTTAAGCACTGAGTTCGTCCTTTTTGTGTGCATAGTGAAAGGATTGAATTGAGTGGTATTATTTGTGTGCGCGCGTGTGTGTGTGCGTGAGTGCGCACGCGCGTGTGTGTGTGCACGTGTGTGTGTGTGTTCACGTGCACCCGCATGTGTGTTCTACTTGCTTCAGGACCCTGTTCTGTACAGCGGATCATTACGCTACAACCTCGACCCCTTTCAACAGTATGGTGATGATAAACTCTGGCAGGTGTTGGGCATGGTGAGTCTGTTCACCTACTTCTCTGCTGTACTTAATTAATGGGAGTGTCTGCAGTTACACGGGGTTCATAGTGTAGTACCCCAGGCATTGTTCCACATTGACAAGGACTGTCTATGTTGTTGTGAACTATTGCTCACTTATTGCGTATCCAGTTGCGAAGCCTGTTGTCTAATACCCTGTCGGAAGGTGCCCTGTTGTTGCTCCTACTGACTGTGTGCACTGGCTACTGGCATGCTGCAGTGCATGGGTGTGGGACCTGGTTGCGATGCCCAGCAGTGGTTAGTCACAAAGGGCCAGGAAAGTTTGCACCTCGAAGAAAAGCTGTGGACACAAAATACCTTGGCAAACATGGTCTTCGGATGTTTGCTTTTGGAAGTGTCTTATTTGAGTTTAACCCACATGCATGCACGCATACACACAATAAAACTTAAAACAAACAAAACATCAATATGCACATTTATCCAGACACGCTCTCACATACACACACACGCATGTGCGTGCCAAACGTACAAAACGTGGACACATGTACACCAAACAGATAGAATACAAGGAAGTGGGGTTTGCCATAGTTTTTTTTCTTTCAATTTTGTCTGATAAATATTTACGAGACTTTGCATCGAGCGACACCGTGGATAACATTGAGCCAAGAATTATGCAATAAACCAGAAGAGATATCTCTTCACAAGTAGGCAAATAAATGCGTAGGTGCCCGGCAACAGCAATCGGGCGAGTCACAGCAATGTACGTATTGCAACTTCAATGATACACATACACGTTTGACCACCCATGCCTCAAACCGGCGGGTCAACCACATGGTGGCCCGGCAACTTCAAACGGGAACACACCGATACAACAGACACAGTTGACCACCCATGCCTCAAACCGGCGGGTCAACCACATGGTGGCCCGGCAACTTCAAACGGGAACACACCGATACAACAGACACAGTTGACCACCCATGCCTCAAACCGGCGGGTCAACCACATGGTGGCCCGGCAACTTCAAACGGGAACACGCCGATACAACATACACAGTTGACCACCCATGCCTCAAACCGGCGGGTCAACCACACAACAACATACAGGTGTCACAACACTGAGACAGTACAGCACAACACTGAGAGGCAAATGCATTAGACCCTCCTTGGGGCCTCGTCACGTGGCACAAGATACCAACGTGTCATGTCTAAAGGGTGGGAGGGAGGGGAGAAAACACAACCTTGAGTCACTTTGACTAACTGGATGACAGAAATTGTTGACAAGGAAGTTGCTTTGCTGACACGAGGCAGGGCAAAGCGGCCACGCAAGATTTATTTTTTCATCCACCATTTTCGGAAAAAATATTTTTTATTCATGTGCCGCGTGACGAACCCGTGACAAAACACGTGCATGCGTGGGCTAACTTGGCTTTGCTGCTCAAAGCCGTCATTTTGCGGTGTGCCTTTTCATACATGGTATGCACTTGTGTGTGTTGCGCCCACGCAGGTACAATTGCAAGAGTACGTCTCCCAACTTGATGGCGGTCTGCAGTCAGAGCTCTCCGAGAGTGGCTCTAACCTGAGCGTCGGTCAACGGCAGCTGGTTTGCCTTGCCAGAGCATTGCTGGACTGCAATAAGATGCTGCTCATTGATGAAGCCACTGCCAATGTTGATAACCAGTAAGTGTGTGTGCTGAATGATGGTGTCATTGTGGACATTGGAGTGTGTTGTTCGATTATGTTGAAGTACAGTCGAATGTCACTTACCCGGTCGCCAGTTATCCGAGCCCGTCGGTTATCCAACAAGCCCGGGAATGGTAATTTTATGACTTTCAACATGTATGTGTACATGGAGCAATTCATGAATATGCATGAATATACTTCCTCCGCGTCATCGAAATTGTCGCAGTTTGACTTTTGATATAAAACGGGGTATTTGCTCACCAGCACTCGTACCAGAGGCAAGGAATCAGACATAGGCGATAGTCATCAGTATAGGGTGACGCCAAAGTTCTATTTTCTGTTATTGGAAGCTGGAATTTTTGAACTAGACGCAATTTCTTCGCTGCTGTCGGTGCGATGGTAATTTCGACTCGCTGAGATCAGTCAGGCGTTGCAGCCCGCACATTTCTCGTGCTTATGGCCATTCACTCAAGCCGCATCACTGTTTTACCTTAGCTGGGGTGAGAATGACTTCGTGGAACAAGTGGCAGCGCTTGGAGAAACATCGAGGGGTCAGCAAACTAAATGCCTGCAACAGTGATAAAATTTGTCGCTCTGGCTGAGACACTCAGTACATGATTGTACCTGCAAGAGCCGTGTAGACTCTACAAGTAGTGCTAGTGATGCACACGCAGGTGCCGTACCATGATATCAGTGATGCTGAAAAAGACGGCGCGCTGGACGTGATAGTACACTTACCTGCATGAGCTGTGACCACACAGCTAAAATAAATGGGCATGCCACGGCTAAAAAAAGTTCATTTCAAGATCGAGGTGATTCCGCCGACGGTAATCAAGCGACCTCGCAACGATCGTGTGTTCTTACTAGGCTTCGTTGGTGGTGAAGTAGAAATCATCCAGAGCTAGCAGACGTCAAGCATAGCAGCTCTTGTCCTGTGGAGAAAGTGAAAGCGTTTGATATGAGGCGCGACCAACTTTCAACCTTCCTTGAAATATTTCGGAACGATATTTTTGCGTCCATTGACATCAGCGACGACGACGACTTCATCTCTGCATGAAAACTCTCAGTCCAACTGTCCTGGAACGTTACTCTAGTCTTCAGACTATCATACTGCGTAATAAGTTTTGAATGGCTTAGCTTATGGAGTTGTCAGTAACAAGTGACAAGTCACTAGTCAAACTGCGACAATTTCGATGACGCGGAGGAAGTATTTGGGTATTGTGTACATAAATCAGTGAAATCCAGCCATATATGCACATCAAAAATGATATCAGTTATCCAACATGCCTGATTCCCGAAGTGGTGGGATAAGTGACATTCGACTGTACTACCTTTGGATACAAGTGCTGTACTGTTTTGTTGGGGGATTGGGCAGTGGTTTCTGAATTTCACCAATTTCATCTTTTTTTTGTAGATTGCGACACAATTACTGCCCCCCCCCCCCCCTTTTACACACCGCCATCACTATCCTCTGGTATGTCGACATGATTTTATAACACATGCTCATACACACACGGCATGCTCACACATGAATACACCTACTTGAATCACACTTCTATTCACTTGCCAATCTCTCATTCAACTCTGGCCACTGTTGTTGTGTATCCAGGACGGATGCCGTCATCCAGTTGACGTTACGTACTCACTTCAAAAACTGCACTGTTGTCACAATTGCACATCGTCTGAAAACAGTCATGGACTCGGATCGCATCATGGTAAGTGAACGGACCTGTAGAGTCACTACCACTAGGGTCACACACACACACACACACACACACATACACACACACAGACTCAGACATGCCCATCGCGGAAGCGATGATAGCGAACAGCAACTTGTGCTGGGATCACACCATTCAACAGCTTGCAAGGCTGATGAATTGACCGCCACTAATTTTAGCCTGGTATCCACCACACAGCTGATTGAAGTGGCTTTTTCTGGCCAGTGAAGCCACACACACACACACACACACACACACACACACACACACACACACACACACACACACACACACACACACACACCTTGAACCTTGACCTTGAACCTTGAACTTGCCCATTGCCGTAGGCAATGATAGCAAAAGGACTAATTCGGCGGCAACCGGCAGAAAGGTTCGTGGTGCTTGAGATCGCCGGGGCGGCGACACGTCTTCCCGCAAGCACAACGATACTCTGGCTTGGCGGAGATATCACGAGGCTGAGGACGACGGTGGACACACACACACACACACACACACACACACACACACACACACACACAACACGCACATACGTACCCGCAGAGCGTATGGTGTAGTAGCATGTAATTGTGAATAAGAAAGTGACTGATTCTCTACTCTAATTCTTATGATGACACTAGTGAAGTAGATGCAGGAAGTTAGAATTGAACTGGTGTGCAGAACACCAGTGCCTCTTTGTGTGCCTGTGTGAAGCACAGCCCCCTGTTCAGAGTGAAGGAATCCTAGGCAGCCAAAGGCTTTTTTAATTGTGTGTGTCTTTCTGTGGAAAGCAGGCCTAGTTCAGCATGTAGGAATCATAGGCAGTTTGTAGCTTTTTGAAATGTGACGTTTCTCCGAATCTGTGGCAGGTCATCGACAACGGCAAGATCAAAGAGTTTGATCCACCACTGTACTTGCTTGACGAGAAACCTGACGGCTTGTTCGCAGAGATGGTTAATTCGCACGGCGAAGAAGAGGCGAAACGATTGCGAGAAGCGTGCTGCTCCAAACAATATTGGACGGAAGTAGCTGCTGCCCTGGAGGAGGAGAACGCATCAATTAAGTCGCGCTCGCCTTTTACAAATGGTACACAGAAGGAGCCAAGGGACAAGCTGGACCAGCAGTTGTCGGCACCTGCTCACTATGTCACTGAGTCCAGTGGTGCTAGTCATGTGGCCCTGGCTGGCTCCACATCCTCACTCAGTGTCGTACATAGACCAGCTGCTGCTGCTGCCCACGATAGCAGCCGGCGGGTAAGCAGGTCAGAAACAAGCATCTAGTAGTGTTAGTACGATGCGATACATTAGATCATGACTTGATAACAACCACCTTGCTACTTGCTGGCAAGAAGCAATATGAATAGGATTCTGAGAGCATCCTGAGGTGGATGATGTAGCAGCCACTAACAAGGCATTCACAATATTGCATTAGATTTTGTCTGAGGTGAGTCATTAGGCATTGGTGATTTGGTGAGTCACAGAGAATGTTGAGTTGTGTTGAAATTCCTACTACTGCTGCTGCTGTTGAGCAAGCACTTGCTGGGTGCCTTATCTAATTTATCTATACTGCACACCTAGGCTATGTAGGCAAGCTGGTTTTTACTGGGTGTTTTCTGCTATTTCCAATTAGTTTTTTTTAAGGTAGGTGTGACTAAGGTTTTTAGAAGGTATTCCAGGCATACCAAGGTACCATAAAAGTTACAGTTGAATCTGCCTTACCATCATAGCATTTTCTACATTATTTTGTTAGTACAGTTATGGTCATGGTTAAGGAGGGTGCTAGATTAACATTTTTTTGATATTATGGTTTCTGAAATTTATTCTGGTTTCTCGGCTGTTTCGATCTGCGGCGACGGAGCAAAGATGCCACAGAAGCATTCCACGGCATCGTTCTTCCATACGACACGACCAGATCAGTTCATTCATTCACTACCAGTGGTTATTCATTCATTCTTACAGTGTGACCTGACCCCTCCCTCAAAAATAATCCAACCTCTATCTCTCCTGCAAAATATAGAGGGGAGGCTCGATGGTGGTGCTAAACAGAGAGAAGATTGGGTGACAACGTTAGCAACCTGACTTGAAGTTCAGTGTAATAAAATGAAGGAAATAAATTTGCTACGTTTGCCATCTGTCTTTGTTTTCTATGGTAAGTCACAGAATTTATGTGAGTGAGTGAGTGACATCCAGACTAGTGGAAACTACATCAGTAGCCTGCCAATGAAATTCTACTAATGAAGGAAAGGATGTGTGCTACCTACCATTTTTGAAAATACCCTAGAAAATAGCCCAGAAACTAGAGGGCCTTTCGGCGGCACATAATTATGAGCTCGAATGTTCTATTTGCCTAGTGTCAGTACTGCATACAGTGTCACAGTGTTTCTTCAGTTCTCGTGTGTCCCGTTGCCTTGACAGCAGTGTTCAGCGTCGCTTTCTCCGGCCACCTTGTGACCTCCGTCCTGCACACAGTCACACAATGTAATCAAACAATGGTCGGTCTTCTAGCACACATAAAGTTATTCATTGTTCACATGTTGGTCTACTGGGAATTGAAATGGAACATTCAAACCACAGACCGAAGAACGAGCAGTTATGGTTTCGTAACTTGGAGTTTCACGAGCTGAATCGTGAAACTCATAGTTTCGAAACCGCAACTGCTCGTTCTTCTGTTTCTGTATTCTGCTCTTTGCTTTCGGCAAATCAAGCCCTCTACAGACGGTGGATGAACCGCACATGATGGTGAATTCAAACCATGGAGTTTGTGGAATCCAGGGAGTCGTAGAGTACCGGGAGACGACACTGGCACCTGGAACACTAAGCGATGCGGATCTCGCGTCCGGGCTGCCCGTTACAGTTGCCTTTGGAGTAAGGCGAGTATGTACGCTTGTATATAGCGCCGCTGGACTGGGTCACGATTGGGGTTAGCAGGTCAAGGACGCGACTGCGAGTTGCAGAGGCTACGGGTCAGGAATCACTTCTAAATTCGGGGTGGAAACACACATCGTTTCGGGTACTATGATCTTGTGTTGCCTCCCTGTACGCTACGACTCCCATGTGAAGTATAACAGTGCACCCATCTCACCAAATTCCAGAATGAGCACAGAAACGTGTGGAAGTGAACACAGCCAAGGAATGATTTTAGTCCGCATGGTTTCCGAAAGACAATGAATGTAAGTTGGATCATGCTATACCTGCCACATGTGAAGGGAACACATGGGGCATTTGAACTCCTTGCGTTGGATTCTACTCCCCATACTCCACCTATGATCACGCATGCCCCAGTAATCTGTGCTGCACACAATTGTAATGTTGTTTGTGTGAACACTTCAACAATGAATATTCTTAAACGCATAGCAGGGCTGACTCTTACCCTGAGAAGCGCAAGGAGCATCCGCTGCACAGATCTGTGGGGAATCAAAAACAGAGGAGAGACAGCAGCCATTATTTGCAGCCACGAATTAGATGGCGTGTCAGAATCCCCTTCCTTTACGACCAAAGGAGCGTCAATGACTCAACTTACATTTAACACATGTGCTGCGGGTGAATGATGGACATGCATTGCTTGCAAATGTGCATTCGTGGTTAGCTGCATGCAGATCATTTCTATGGTGTACTGTAGTAGATGCGTCTGAGGCGGTGATGAGGTGTGGCACTACTTCACGCATTCAAGTACCAGCAATCCGCACATTGAGAACCTAGCTAAGCTCATCTGCTAACAGTTATCCAGCTCTGTCAGATGGGTGACTACGACAAAAATGTGCACTTGGTTTGTCTGGAGAGATTATAATTATCCTGGTAAGTTGGTCATTGGTTGTGTGAGCCGATCAAACCTTTCTAAATCTTACTGATTGTGTAGATGGTGTCGCTATTCTCTGGTTCTTCTTCTTTTCTCCTTGCTTGGATTTGAACAGGCTATCAAAGAGCTCCGCAGCGGGATCTGGTGTCCAGTCGAATTGACTTGATGACTCCCTTTGTGATGATACCGTCGCTGCTGTCGTTTTTGTGCTTGCGTGAGTTGATTTGGTGTAAGGAGCAGGAGAAGCCAGGTTTCTACCACGTGCCAATGTCGCTGATGATGTTGAGCTGGAGGATGAAGAGCGTGTGTGTGAGGACGGCTGATGCTTTGTCGGTCGCACGGGTGTTCTCTCGTGTCCCGGAGAGTGTGATGGTCGTTTGGCTGGCGGTGCTGTTTTAGTACTAGCTCTGCGATTTGCTGTGGGCTTTGTTGCTGGCGACTCCTCTGAAAGATGATGTGATCGTTTAGAGCTGGTGATGAACTGGAGTGGAGTCTTTCTTCGTTGAACTTGGCCCCTGCGTGCATCCGCATCATCCTCACTGTCGCTGCTTGTACTGGTATTGCAAATGGCCAGTTCAAATATGTCATTCCTGCTCGTTGTAATTGGAGTATTGGTGAAGCGAGTTGACGGCAAGCATCCCGATACAAGTGTACGTCGACCAGTGGTTTTGCTGCTGACATCGGAATTGGATGAAGCGGTCTGTGCTTGGCGCATGGAAGACTCTACTTTCCTGCTAGAAGATATCCTAGTTGACACCGAACTGGAAGTTGAAGGTGCTATGCTGGTCTTGGAGGGGTTGAAGACTGGGCTGCTAAAACCATCAAAGAAAAGACTGCTATCTTCAGAGATGCTGGTGTTCGAATCACTTTGCGCCACTTGTCGAGAACCAGCACTAGCCTTCTTGGTTAGTTCTTCAGGAATCTTGTTTGCAGATGTAGTGATTGAGCACTTTGGCAACACTTCAGTTGAGGTACCAGCGGCCTGACAACTCGGTGGAATGATTGTGTTGGTAGGACGGATGTTTGTAAGTGCAGTAACAGCATCTCGTAGTCCGTCTAAAAGTGGCCGGAATGCAGACAGACAGCCCGCTATTTCTGATGCTGTTTTCGCCAGGGAATCGGTAACATTTTTCACAGTGATCGTAGTCTGTTTCAGCTGCTTGGACTGCTCATTAGTGTGAGTTATGCCATCCATCAGGTTGCTTTGTAAGGACAGAACCTTCTCTTTGTCACTGTCATCTGCAGACTTCTGCATTCTCAGCTCTCGTGTCTGCAGATCCTCGAGTTGCCTCTTGTTCAAGATCAACTCTTGTTCCCTCTGCACAAAATGGAGCAAACACACAACACAAGAACACAACAATTGCCTTCTAACAGTTACAACAGTACTTGACGTGCATGCATTCCTACATGCATTCCTACATGCATTCCTACATGCATTCCTACATGCATTCCTACATGCATTCCTACATGCATTCCTACATGCATTCCTACATGCATTCCTACATGCATTCCTACATGCATTCCTACATGCATGCCTACATGCATGCCTACATGCATGCCTACATGCATTCCTACATGCATTCCTACATGCATTCCTACATGCATTCCTACATGCATTCCTACATGCATTCCTACATGCATTCCTACATGCATTCCTACATGCATTCCTACATGCATTCCTACATGCATGCCTACATGCATGCCTACATGCATGCCTACATGCATTCCTACATGCATTCCTACATGCATTCCTACATGCATTCCTACATGCATTCCTACATGCATTCCTACATGCATTCCTACATGCATTCCTACATGCATTCCTACATGCATGCCTACATGCATTCCTACATGCATGCCTACATGCATTCCTACATGCATTCCTACATGCATTCCTACATGCATTCCTACATGCATTCCTACATGCATTCCTACATGCATTCCTACATGCATTCCTACATGCATTCCTACATGCATTCCTACATGCATTCCTACATGCATTCCTACATGCATTCCTACATGCATTCCTACATGCATTCCTACATGCATTCCTACATGCATTCCTACATGCATTCCTACATGCATTCCTACATGCATTCCTACATGCATTCCTACATGCATTCCTACATGCATTCCTACATGCATGCCTACATGCATGCCTACATGCATTCCTACATGCATTCCTACATGCATTCCTACATGCATTCCTACATGCATTCCTACATGCATTCCTACATGCATTCCTACATGCATTCCTACATGCATTCCTACATGCATTCCTACATGCATTCCTACATGCATGCCTACATGCATTCCTACATGCATTCCTACATGCATGCCTACATGCATTCCTACATGCATGCCTACATGCATTCCTACATGCATGCCTACATGCATTCCTACATGCATTCCTACATGCATTCCTACATGCATGCCTACATGCATGCCTACATGCATTCCTACATGCATTCCTACATGCATTCCTACATGCATTCCTACATGCATTCCTACATGCATTCCTACATGCATTCCTACATGTATTCCTACATGCATTCCTGCATGCATTCCTACATGGATTTCTCTGAGATATGATGGAAGAATACCAAACTGAGCACAATGGAAAGATATTATGGTGATGCAGCCCTAACTTATCATAATCAGGCTCTCAGCATAAATACTGGAGTAGTGTCATTTTCCAAGCATGTTGGTTACGTGAGGCGCTGTACTTTCAGAAACAACTTGATCTATACGCCGAAACTTATCTCAATCACGGGTCATTTTGTTCATAAAATTGTCAGCCACGGATATTGGCAGGACAGTACAAACTCGATAAGAACCATTGTTTCCAGATCCAATGACAATAAACTGGAGATCAAACACCTACCAGCTCAATTGTCTTCTTCAGGTTGGAGAGCTCCAGGTTGACTCCATCCCTCAGCTTTACCTCTGTTGCCACAATCTTACAGTGATTTGATAACTCCTCAAACACTGCAGCATGACATGAAGCACAGTGAAGCCCATCAGTAAGTCGTTAGGTCAGTTGCACACTACGTACAAAACTCATACTTCCTTCGCGTCATTAAAATTGTCGCTTTGCACATCACAAAGTTTGTGACTTGGCTCGTCTTAGTCAGACTGTCGGAATCGCTGTTTTCTGTGTTCAAACATTGGTGCCAACCTTCCTGCGCAATGTCTACTTGTTACTGAAGCCGTGGTGGTCTCGGACTTTGTCGGGGCTCTCTTCCGCACCAAGAAAATTCATCTCGCTCCGCACTATTCCGCCCCAGAGCGCATATTGTTTTTCTGGAGTTCGTGCCGTCCCACATCGTTTGCGTGGGCATTTATCAATACTGCAAGCTCGGGCATAAGAATCCTGGTATCTCTCCTGAATACGAATGCTGAAGTTGACGATGTCAAGAACAAAGTGTTCTCAAATTCCTAAAATGCGCTACTTGTGGCGCATGGTGGTGCGAAGGTAGCAGGTCTGAAAACACCAACAAATCAGCGAAGCGCTTGCAAAGGAAAGAAGGTGCGGACCTACAGTGTGCTTGAAAAGTGCTAGCTTGCCTTCATCGCCTGCCACCTTGAGGCATAGATCGCTTGAAAACGAAGTTTCTTGACCTGCAATATTTGAACGAGCGTCTTGTTCAGGGTATTGTTTGGTGCTGAAGGGTCTGCCTCACACTCTGATGAAGACGTCGACCTTAGCTGCAAGTGCAGCGAAGCGGGAGGCGACAAACTAAAGCTTCGTCCGTCGACAATGCTCTGCCTCAATTTCTAGCTGATTTCTTTGCCCTTCAAGTGGACACTGAAATAAATTCGAAAAATCGCTCTGGGAAGCGACAGTTTTAATGAAGCGGAGGAAGTATAAGCTGGGTATACTTGTATGTTCCCATGGAAATCAAAGGAATGTGGCGGGATAATCAAGAAGTTGCTTTTTTCCTTTTCAGCAAGTCGCGCACCCCTGTAGAAAGCAGCTTATATCCTGCTTTTTGCTTGTTTGGCAGCTTTCTTTCTCCGGGTGAGTAGAAGGTGAAACTCTCGGCTGTTCTTTAATGATAGCTATTCATAATGACCTTCGACCTTTGTACTTTGGCGGACTGGCGCACCCTGCGGTGGACTCTGAGTGGTTTACTTACTATTGTATATTCTTATAGTTCCGGTGTTGCATATGATGCTGTTTTTTCCCCCGTTTTGTTTGGTTCTTGGTGGCTTCCTTTCGTTTATATTCAGTCAGTTACAGCTTGCTGTTATCCCTCTCGTGTAGTTCAGTTGCTTTACTAGTGTCTCATCCTGAAGTAAAGATTATTAATTTTATTATAATCCCTGTGAGTCAGAGTCAGATCCCTGTCTCGTCTACCGGGTCTCCCTCCTTTCATTTTCCTGTCGCGTTTCGCTTACAACTATGCCACGCCAAGTTTTCACCGATGATTTGGAGCTTCGCTTGATTGAGCTGTGGGCAGAGTACCAGCAAAATAAGAGTGGCACAATGGTGAAGCGAGCCCAAAAGGAGAAGGAGATCGCTGGTGTCCTAAATGATTATGCTAAAACAGAGCTTGGACTTGTGGACGTTCTGGTGACCGGCTTGGTTGTCCACAATAAGATAGACAACCTGAAGTCCAAGGCGAAGGAGATTTATCGCAAGTACATCCAGGCGACTGCAATTGGAAGTTCTTCTCAGGGCGGAGAATTCGACCTGCAGAGGGCGTTCCAGTACTGGTCAAGTTTCAGGACCTGGCATCGCCTATTCCACGATGTGCGGGATTCGGGCCCGTCACGAGTTTGAACTCCGTTGCTGTCGCCAGCAGACCTCCCTCTATGATCTCTCCCACCCATGCAACGTCCGTGTCTACATCGACATCTTCAAGTCTTCAAACAACGCCTGCTCGTCTTTCTACTCCAAGGCCACAACTCAGGATTGACGGTAATGATGCCCACAGCGACATGGACGCCATGCTGATGGGCAATTTGATTCCGGCTTCAGTAACAACTGTTCCCCCAGCCCAAATGCCCACATTGTAGGCAGTGACGATGAGCTGGATGGCTCGGAGCTGGAAAATCCGTCGCCCTCTGCCGCTGGCATTCTGTACGAGCCAGGAATGCAGAAACGGAAGCGCCAGCAACACCTTGCAACACTGCAAGCTGCCGCTGCGCAAGACTTGGAGAGGGGAGCTGGCCTCTGCAATACAATCGCTTTGCTAGTCTTGAAAGCTTTTCAACAAGGACACAGCGGCGATGGCCACCTTCCGCCTTCTGCCGTCATCCCAGATATTCATTTCTTCAGGTGTGTGCACTACTTCTTTCTCGATCTCCTCGACAAAATCAAGGTTTGAACTGAAGAAAAAAGCAGTAAGAAAACAGAGAGGTTTTGCATTCCGAATTTCGGAATTATTTTCGGAATGTGGCCGCAAGAGTCGAAAAAGTAGTCGAACTTTCGGAAGTGTGGTGGCGAAAGTGCATGGTTTTCCGAAAATGGATTTTCGGCTCTTTCCTGTTTGGGATCGGGAGCGCATATTTGAATATTTTTCATAAGTGTATTTTTGTTTTCTGCTGCTCTCGCTGAATATATTTGAAATTTTTCCACGTGTGTAGTTTTGGTTTTTGCTGGTTTTAACATTTTGCTGCTCTCGCTGATCTCGCCATGTTGACTAGATCTTCTCACACTCCATCACACTATCTTTCTTTGCCATGGAGCCTACTGACAGTGCAAGACAGTAGTTCGCCAACATCGTCTTCAGCCGTTGGATCACTCGGTCCCCCATCAGTCCGTCCTCTTCGAACCGCACCCAAATTCAGTTTGAACTGCACATGGATTTGATCCTGCTCAGGCAACTCCTATTTTGTGCTCAACCCCTTTGTTCGCGGCTCTGTGGGATCCGAGGAGACTGCAAAAGTTCTAGCCTCGTCTGACCCAACGTTTGCTGGTATCACCAGGAAGTCCGTCAAAGACCACACGCATGCTGCTGTTGGACCAGCACGCCTCAAAACCCAATTTGCAAGATTCGGACGGAAACAGTTTTTGGTTTTGGCGCCTTCAACGCTCTCCATTTTGTTTTGCATGGCAACCCTTGGAAACGAAGTCGAATCAGATTTTCGGAATGCAAAACACTGAAAATGCCGTTTTTCGGCACGCACTTTTTTCGGAAAAGCACAGTCGAAAAACATTCCGAAATTCGGAATGCAAAACCTCTCTAACCACTCGGACTCCACCGCATGCGCAGGGTGCACCAGTCCGCCAAAGTACAAAGGTCAAAGGTCATGAATAGCACAAAAGAACAGCCAAAATTGCCGTGCATCTCCGTTCTCATGACAATTCATGTAAACAGCAAGTGAGCTATGTGCAGTGTGCACTGAACAAAACTCATGAGCAACTTATACTGGACCGCGCTCGTAGACTCTTATACATAGTGTGCAACGGACCTAAGACCAAGCCATCGGACAAGTTGTGGGAGTTCACTTTCTCCCACCAGATGCATGCAAAACTGAGAACAGCATCGCACTGATCTTCGACACTGCATACAGCTCCCTGCACGGTTTTGAGGGAAAACCAGGACGGCAGCATATTACTCCTTTCCATTCAGTCTAATATCATCAGGTCAGTCACAGCAGAAGACTATTTTGACTTGACTTGCTCCATTATTAGTTTTTTGCTTATGATCGTGACGGACTTTGGTTGTTCTCTGCTGGAGACACTTTTCATTGCAAGCAGTATAGTGTGTAGTTGCAAAAGTGAAGTTGTATTTTTCGCCGGCCGAGCGCAGCGAGATAGGCGAGAAATGATTTCTCGTGAAACATTTTCAGTTGCAAATATGGCATCTGGTGTGTTCTTTATCGTCGTTTCTTCCCCTGACTTCTTCAGTCAGTTTTGAGTCTCACCAGTGTCTCTGCCCTCCCACCCTTCATTTCTGTGCATCTCATTATTGCTCTTTTATCACTTTTTGCCGTGATGTGCTTGCCATGCCTACATGATGCCTAATCACCATTGGGGATATACACCCGGTTTTTCCCTCACTACTCCGTCCGTCGGCACGAGGGTTTTCCCGGCTGGCTCGGTCCAGGAAAATTGATCTGACGGTCCCAAGTGGTTCTGCATCATGGCCTATTTCTGCTATCCGCTGGCACACCTATTCTACCTGACACTCTGTTCTCAGTCCTTGCTTCCACACCTCACTCGTTATCCGGTTCACATCTGGCTGCGGCCAATTTCCCTTCACTTTGTCTGTTGTCGCCATTGCTGTCTATGTCTCTGTGTGTGCCAGTATATGTGGAGCGAGAAGTAAAAGAACTTACCCGAGTTTGCTTGAGTGGAGAGAATCTCCTTCTGTGTCTGAGAATGTTCCTCCAGCACCACCTTACAGGCTTCTGTTGCCTCTCGCACCTAGCAAGTACACACCGGTAGCACATTAACACTCTATGTGTAATCCACTTTATGGACACCGCTAGGCCTTGCACTTTAGGCTATTGTGAACTGCCACTATCTTACTTCAAAGAACATGTCGGTTCTTCTTTCCTCCACCAACAGCTGCATCAATACAATCGGCGACATCATTATCTATCATACCTTGACGTGAATAATGTCTTAAATGACACATTACGCTTTCCCCATCGCTAGTTGAGTTCTACGTTCCTGGTTCATGATAAGACTACACTAAAATACCTTCTCGGGAATTACACACACACACAAGGTCAGTTCGAAGTGGATGAATGACATTACAAGAATGGGATAAAACATCCCATAAACAGTTCTTCCTACCTGATTTGCACACTGTTTGGCTATTTCAGCGGCAGCTGATGCATCCATTCCATGTCTAAACAGCAAAGAAACATGCATAGCCAAAGCACAGATGGATTAAAAAATGTGGGACAATTTACAGAAGTCACAGACAGGCTCCATTTACATTTTACAACAATACGAGACCGTATAGGTACACCATTGCTGAGGAAGTAGGTACTATTCATTCAAAGTTTTCAAGGTGAAGATATACATGTGAAACTTTTTAGCAGTCCAAAGTGGATGTACATGAGTGCTATGCAATGTTCATACCTGTCAAGGCCGGACACATGCCTCCCATTGACACCTAGTTCCATATTGAGCGTCACCTCTTCATAAGTTTCGATTGGCATCTTCTCTCGATTTCTAGTTCATATGTAATGCATGTTACTCTTGCAGTGTGATGATTAGCTAGTCACACCATGCATACATCTGGACATGCAGCATGTGTTGAAATAGCATTTTCATCTGCCAATTGGTTGGCTGACCATGATCATATCTAGCACATTGTTCTTACCTATCGCTGCCACTCTCCTGGCTTGTCCTCTGTTTCTTCACACTGAAGAAGTCTTTCATAGTCATCCTGCTCTGGGAGGTGTTGGTTCTGCCACTGTCACTGGCTGGTCTGGCATTGCGTGTTGTGCCGGCATTGTGTGCTAGAAGAGTTGCGCGGGAAAGGTGTGATCTGGGTGCTGGCTGTAGTACACCGTGCAGTCAATGGAAAGATAGATACTCTGTAAATCCTTACACATGGCAGTGAACCAGTCCCTTGTCACGCCGCAATGCAAACAGTCTAGCAAGCTTGACTTCACTCACTCCCCTTCCTCCTTCTCCCCCCCCCCCCCCCCCCGTTTGCCTGTTGAACTCTGTGAGTATAACTGTGTGATGGCAGTACCCAGTCCAACTTAGTGTCTTGCAAACTGTGATATTTTTCATATCTTTAAATGAGTTTCCCATACTTAGTAGACCTAATGGAAGAGATAGAGGTAGGGCTATCCACCTACAAAGAGGGCTGTCACAGGCTGTGCCAAAACCATTGTACTTTGTGTATTCGCAAACACCACAGGAACAGAGCGGCGCAAAGAGGTCTGAGCAAAGATCAAGCAAAGCTGGCCTCCACTATTCCGTTTTTATGAGCATGCTTCCTTTCACCCCTGAACTGGTCTGGTACAAATGCCAGTCGGTACCGCTACAGTTCTCAGTACTAGTACATGGACAAAATCATCTGACCACACGTTACCTGACTGCTTGGTTGTGAATTTGATGACTGGGACCAGTGGGCCATTCTTCCAGAGGACGGGACACCAGAGTCAAACAGCGGCTGGCTTTGAGAATAGGAAAACTGGCTTTGGCTTTCATGACTCATTTGTTCGTTTGCTCTGCATGGGCAGAATGAAGCAAACCCAAAGAATATCTAAAGCCAGGTCCAATTTCAAAGAAGCAAATACTTGGTCGAGGGCACACTGGGTCCTTCAGCAGAACATTCGATCACGACGATTCTTACAGTTTCCCGAGCGCCTGGTCGTTGACTGCGTTCAGGTGGGTTGGCGAAATTTGATTCCTCATTAGATAGAGGTAGATCTACTACTGTGGCCGGACTGGTGCAGGAAGGAATTATCTTCGAGGAAGTATTTTTACTTTAGCAGATTCAGAAGAAAGAAACAGCAGTGCAGCGCATTCCAACAGCTAAAATAATTAAAATTGTTTCACTGTCTCCGCGGATCCGACCAACAGTTACATGATGATTCCACCACAAAACGTCGAGGATCAGTGCAGCATGCAGTCGCTGCCGCTCATATCGAGAAAGTCTGGATAGTGCACACTGCACAGTACAACGAAGTGAACCGGTCCGGGTTGAAAGGTGTCGGGGTCAGGTCAAAGGTCACATGGACATGGTCCTCCTTTTAGTAAGTTTTACTTCGAAGTTCGATGACTCACTGTACAATTATGTACATGTACAGTGCTGGCAACTGAAATCCGACCCCGCCGCCCAGGGGGTAGGATTTCAGTTGCCAGCACTAGGCAAAGCCCGATTTTGGTAGGGAAGCTTCGATATTTTGCCGCATAATTTTGCTGGCTCATCGTCGATATTTTGCTTTCATTTTGCCAGGCCACTCGATATTTTGCTCCCCTTTTGTCCCAAAACTTGTGTCACGTGTGGGAAAACTGACCGAAAGTGGGTCACGTGTTGGTAAAAGTGAGAAAAAAATTAGTCACGTGTTGGTAAAACTGTGCGAAAATGAGTCACATGCACCGTATAAGTGTAAAATCTCCCAATTTCCAGCGAACAGACCGATATTTTGCTCCATTTTGCCAGCAAATTCCCTTTATTTATTTATTTATTTATTTCTGCACCTCGTGGCATGTCAAGACAGCCAATTGAATTGAGGAGAGGGTGAGACCAACCACGGAAGAAGAGAAAAAAAGAAAATTAAGAGCACGTACACAAAGTGGGAAGGGATTAGCAACTTACAAAGCAATGGGATGCTCAGCGAGCTATGCAGCGGAAGTGGTGACTGTGACTTTGTTTACTGGGAGATACTGAAGTGCTGTCTGACGAGGGTACGGAATTTGGGCATATCTGGAGCTTGTCTAACACTGGGAGGCAGTTGGAGCCACGTGGAGTAGGAGGAAAAGAAAGGGGAATTTACGAAGAGGGTAGACCTAGCTAGGGGGAGACGAACGCAGCTTCGGGTGGTGCCACCTGAATTGAACCAATTAAGGGACTGTAAATGAGCAGGGTGCTGGTCAAGGAAAATTGAATGCGCCAGGGTGCACTTGGAAGCATCAAGGTAATGTTGCAGAGTGGTAGTGGATGCAGCAGCATACAAGTCTAGATTTGAGGTATAACGATCAGTACGGAATATGATTCGCAGTATACGGCGATGGAGAACTTCTAATTTACCTATGTGGGTTTTGTTAATGGTGGACCAGGCAGGGAAGCCGTACGTGAAGAGGGGAAGAATGTATGATTTATAAAAATTAATCCGGCAATTTTTGAGCAAATGGGACAAGTGACTTGACATTATGCCGACAGATCGGCATACTTTGGACGACACATGATCAGCATGGTGAGACCAGGAGAGGGCGGAATCTATGACAATGCCAAGGTGTTTATGGTGGGGCGCTACAGAGATAGGGTGACCGGGATCATCGGGAAAGTGGAAGATGGGCACTGGATCTTTTGGAGGGGGAAACAGGAGGAGCTCGGTTTTGGTCACATTTGGCTTAAGGTACCAAGTGCTCATCCAGTGAACAATGTCGTTGATACAGGTCTGAACTTTGGGGTACAGGGTGGCGTGAGATGGGGAGGAAGCAAGGACAGTGGTATCATCTGCAAACAAAGAAATATTGGGAATTGAATAGGGGAGGTCATTAACGTATGTGAGGAAGAGCAGGGGACCTAAAATGGAGCCCTGGGGCACTCCGGATGTCACAGACTCGGGGTCAGATAAGGTTCCATTTACTGTGACGCACTGATTTCGGTCCAAGAGGTAGCTAGTTATCCAGGCGAGTAGGGAGCCGGAGACACCATGGGCACGAAGTTTGGCGATCAGGCCCTTGTGCCACACGGTGTCGAAGGCCTTGGAGAGGTCGAAGAAACAGATGCAGGAGACCTGCCGCTGGTCTTTTAGGGAGCAGAGGTCTTGGATTATGCGGGATAATTGCAGGGATGTGTTGTCCTTACGACGGAAGCCAGATTGTGCGGGGTGAAGAAGAGGGGAGATATGGTCGTACAAGCGGTCGTACACTATTCTCTCTAGCAGTTTGGAGACGCAGGACAGGAGGGAGATTGGTCGGTAATTAGACGGGTTGTTCTTGTCGCCTTTATTTTTGTACACTGGAATGACAGTGGCTGACTTCCATCGTGACGGGAATGTGCCGGAGGAGAGGGAAAGGTTAAAAAGAACGGAGAGTGGGCGGGCAATTGAGTAGCTCAGTTTCCTGAGGATCTCATTGGTGATCCTATCAGCTCCGGGGGATTTGTTCAGAGGCAGTCTTGCAATATACTTGTGAACAGTCGATGAGGTGATGATCAGGGAGTGCAATGTAGTTGCTGGTGGAGGTAGAGAGGAAATAGTGGGAATAGGAGCATCGGGATCAACCTGTAAGCCAGCACTAACGAAGTGGCGGTTCAATAAGTTACCAATGGATGCCGGAGAGGTGCTTGTTCGACCATTGGGGCCCACCATCTTCGAAGGTATAACCCGGGCGCTGGTAGGATTTCGCAGTTGACGAATGAGCACAGGGAGGGATGGGAGGCGAGGGTTTGTGGGAGATATCGTGGCACGGAGGTTGCGGATGTAGCAGCGATGGCAGGATCTGGAAAGGCATTTTACATAGTTACGTTGGTGTTTGTATTTGTTGAAATTTGTAGGGGATGGGTATTTCCGGTAGATGCTGTAGAGATCGCTCTTGACTTTAATAGCTGCTTTCAGTGATGGAGTCATCCAGGGGCAGGGTTTGTGGCGTGATTTCTGACGAGGAGGTGAGGATCTTCCTATATATAGGTCCAAGGCACCTTCAAGGATGTCAGTGAATGCGGAGACAGCCGTGTTGATGCAGTGGGAGGCAAGGACCTGAGACCAGGGTACAGCTGCGAGAAAAACATTCATGGCATTCCACATGTTATCCGTGGCACTCAGGACATTGTATTTTTGTGTAGATGGTGGGCTACGGCAGGTGTTGGCTGCTGTGGGGGAAGACTTTGAGGAGGAGAACTCAGCCAGCAGGACGGCATGGTCTGATGCGCCAAGAGGAGCCAGGTGTTGAATGTGGTTGAGTTGGTTAGGGATGTTGCTTGCGATAAGGTCTAGACAGCTGCCAAGTCCATTCGAGCGGAGGTGGGTGGGAAAGGTTACCGATTGGGTCAAATTATAGCATGAGAAGAGGTTGTCAAGACTCAGACCCTGTGCATCCGTTTGGTCAGTTGAGCACCAGCCGGAATACCTACAGTTGAAGTCGCCTGATATCACAAGGGCTTCGGGCTTCCTTTGTGTTGATTGCAGGGCTATTTGGAGGCGGTCGAGAAAAGTCGAGAAGTCATCCGTCGACGGGGAAGGAGCACGGTAGATACAGGCTACTGTTAGGTGGGTTGTTGGCAGGTCAGAAGGTGAGACAAGCTTATGTTCAGCGAGTGTAAGCCGAAGTGCTAGCGCTTCCAAGCCCGGTTGCTGAAAATCCGGTAGCTGATCAATGGAAGTGCACAGACCTTCACGAACTAAGATTAGAACTCCTCCATACCCCCTGTGTGGGTCACGGTTCTGTCTATTTTCTAAAACAGGTCGGTCTCGACGGAAGCATTCATAGTGTGGCACGTGGAAAGCTTGTGTGGGAGTTAGCCAGGTCTCTGTGATGCATACTACGCTGGGTGTGTGATCTTCACAGATTTGAATGAGTTCGCCAGACTTGTTTGCTATGGAGCGAGCATTAAGGACACAGATTGTAAGTCGGTGAGTAGCAGCATGTACAGAATGGGGGAAGAAAGGTGGGGCAAGAGCGTTGAGAGGCGCAGGGGTTGAAGTGGAAGAGGAGGGATAAAGGTTACGCATTGGAAGCTGGCTTCGTCACTTTGGGGCTGTCCGCAAAACGCCACTTGCGTACTGAGTGGCTGATGGCTTCGGGCCAGAAGGCTCTGTCTAGTACACGCTCTTCATGTTCTGCAGCCACAGTGACTCTGGCATACGATGTGCCAAGGTATTTGGACTCCATGACGGAGCAATTTAATACCTCCACGTCCCTCGCTTCGCACCAGTCTCTGATGGAGTGAGCGTTGCAACCGCTGTTGATGCTTCCAACGTAGAGCACAAGTTTGTTGATGGGCACCACCCCTGTCAGGACGCACGGATCAGCAGGTTCCGTGTTAGGTGATTCCTTCACGTACCGAGAGGTTATAGTAGCCCGCAGAGCTTTGGATACGCTGTCCGTGAATTTGTCCTGCCGTCCTTTTCGTCTATGGTTCACCTCTTTCCACGTGTTCTGTGTTGGCTCTGTACCACATATGCCAGTGACCCCTGCTTCACAGCATTGTGTGTCGGCTGCGTGGACTGTACAACTACAAGTATCACTGGTGCATGCAGCACACATTGGGCTTTGTTGGGCAGGCTGGGTCTGGGTACTACTTGGACTTGTACCTTGTGGTGTTGCAGCATGCTGGGTGCGTACGGTATTACTGTAGGACTTCGCAGCTGGAGGTCCCATGGCTAATTCAAGAGTTTTTTTTTTTTTTTTTTTTAACAGTACAGTACAATGGCCACGTTTTGTTGGGATGTGTACGTGGGTACGGTGTGTGGTAAGGGGTCAGGGATGGAACACTTCTGTTGACGAAGCTCTACTACTTCACGCCTCAGCTCTTGGATTTCCAATTTCAGGGCCAACATTGTGCTGTCTCTATCTTCCCTCGACATAACAATCTCCTTGGACAAGGTTGAAACACATGATACAAGGCTAGACAATTGTTCCAACGTACCGTTTGGACTTGCTGGCTGCGGCAGCACTCCCACGCCCATCTTCCGGAGCTCTTTGACGAGTTCCGGGCGAGAAAGGCTTGAGGGTTGGTCTACTGATTTCCGCTCGCCCAGGTCAATTAGGTCCTTGAATCCCACCAGGGCTAGGTCTAGATTCTCATCAAGTGACATCGTAAGGTACACAAAGGTTTGGTCACTGCTTAAGGGATGCTGTAGGAGT